GTGTCATAAACTTGTGTGTTTAGCTGGTTTTAATTTCTCAGAAATGTTGTAATAACAATAAATACTCATTTTGCAATTCCTTTAATAAGAATTATATTTATTTTTACAGATATCATTATTGTATTTACCCATTGAGCTTCCTGACTCATATTTCCTGAATCATAAAACCCATTTTTAAATAAATATCTGAACATTTAGCTTTAATTTCTTGAAAATTTTGTTGAATAAATATTTACATTTAAGAAATATTTTATCGATAGGCCTTCCTTAAGTTCCCTAGAACTTTTTTAAAGTAATTTTATAAAGTTTTTTAACTACCTCTTCAATTTTGAAGAAATAAGCTTTCATTTCTTCAAAGTTTTGTTGGAAAAATGTTTAATTTGAAGACATATTTTAACTTTAGTTCCCCAGAACTTTCTTTAAGTTCTTTCCTAAGGTTTTTTTTGACTTCCTCTTAAAGTTTAAGCTTGTTCAGTGTTTATATTGAATCTCTCATAGCTCTGATCTTGTTCTTTTTGGTGTTAATTGTGTCTCTAGTTTGCATTCCATTGATATTTGCACAGATAACACGGAATATATATGTATATATTTGTCTATATATCATGGGGAATCTCTCATGATATAGTTTCCAATTAGCCCCTTCTCCAGTTACCACCTCTTTCGTGGCAATTTTCACACTTTCCATGGAGACACACACACACACACAACATACACACACTCGCGGGAAATTCTCAATTAAATGGAGGATGCCAAAAGGGATGAGGCAGGGGGTGGTAAGGGGGGGAGGGATGTGGGTTTACTTGAAGAGCTTCAAGGTTATTTGTTGTTTTTGTTGTTGTTGGCAATTTGCTTTGATTTAATTCAATTTGAACGGCATCGAAGGCAGCGAGCGGTAATTTTTGCCATTTTTAGCGCCGCATTTTCCCCCTCCCCCAAAAGGGGCTTGAAAGTTGACTAAAAGGGGGTGAGGGGATTGGTGTAGTTATATATATATATATATACATATATATATATATATGTATATATAAATGTGTGTATTTGTGCTTGTTAGGAACATTTTCGCTTCATTTTGCAGATTGCATGCCCCAGAAGGACGACGGAAAATGACGGGGAAAAACTAGAGATACACAGAAAGAAATGTTAGAGAAATGTTTACTTTAATTACAAAGTTATATGTTACTTAACTTATTTAGCTTACTTATCAAATTAATGATATATTAATCGAATCGGATATCGATCATAGCTAAGCCTAAAATATTCGCATTCCTTTTTATCGATTGTTTTATATCACAATTTTTTCAACAAAATCAAATTTTCAAAAACCCATAACTAAGCCAAAAAAGCATTAATTTTAAATCGGAAAGCTGTCCAATGTTAGTTTTTATTAGATTATCAAATCTGCATAATCAAGTTAAAATTTAAAAAAATTAAAATTTTTATCAATATTTTTCTGACAACTTTAACGATTTTACCACTTCAAAAATTTGGAAAAAATTACAAAATTTATTTTGTCAGCCAGAGATGGTTAAATCGATTCGGTTGTTCATGCTGATCAAGAATATATATGATTTATAGGGTCGAAAATGAGTCCTTCACTGCGTAATAGGGTTCTGACTGAAATTATAATACCCTGTACAAGTATAAAAATACAGCTTTCTCTCTCTCTCTACGCCTCTCTATTTCTCCCTACCTCTCATTCTCTCTCTCTCTTAACTTAACAAATACTCTTTCGTTCGCTAAAAAATGCGGAAAAGCTCTTTATGGGAGTAAAAAACTGTTCTTAAATTTAAAGCAAAAGTCCCTGTAATACTTTAACAAGTCCTAAATCAACCCAAATGACTGTACTATAAAAATTAAGAGCATTATTTCCATGCCTCACAAACACTTGAAACCGAACTACTTTCCTTTTTAAAAGTGTAACATAAAAAGAGGAAAAGGTGGCTCCATAAAGGAGGGGGTGCTGTTGTTGGGGCCATTTCTCAAGTGTCATTCAACTGCGAGGACACGCAAAGTGCCGAGGCACAAACAACAACAATAATATGAACAACAACAACATAACAACAAATACTACAACAACATAACAACTACTACTACTACAACATAACAACAACAACAACAACAACAACAACAACAACAACAACATCAACAACAACAACGTCAGCAACTGTAACTAGTTTTAATGATTATTTACATGGAACAAGTGCAATAAATAATAAATACGAGTCGGAGGAGGAAGGCAAAGGCAAAAGTGTAACGCCACCTCTGAGATGGGGAGGTCTATACGCCAGAGGATGTGTTAGCCAACTTGGTCTGTACGTAGATATACATATATACATATATATATATATCTAACCATGTGTTGGTGTGTCCGGTGTCGATTCCAATTCCGATTCCGATTGAACGCTGATTGACAGCAGGGAATTGGTGCAAATTGCCTCGAACTAGTTCAATTATGGGTGTTATCTGTGATGGTTACATTGATTATTGAGTTACATTCAAGGAGGGAGAGGGAGAGAAATGGTTCTACAAGGAGTTACCTTTAAGGGGAGAGGGAGAAAGAGGAATGGTTCTCCAAGGCGTTGTAGAAGTTGGGAAAGTTAGCGGTTCTCCAAGGAGTTACCTTCAAGGAGAGAGGGAGAGAGGCGGTTCTCCAAGGAGTTACCTTTAAAGAGAGGGAGCGAGAGAAACGGTTCTCCAAAGAATTACCTTCAAGGGAGAGAGGGAGAGAAACGGTTCCCTAAGGAGTTACATTCAAGGAGAGAGGGAGAGAGAGACACGATTCTCCAGAAGTTACCTTTAAGGGGAGGGAGAGAGAGAGGCGGTTCTCCAAAAAATTAGGCTCAAGGAGAAAAGAAGTGAGAGAAACGGTTCTCCAAGGGATTGTTGAAGTTGGGGAGTATTGGAGGAACGTTGTGGAGTTTTGTTAAGACTTCAAGTTAGCTTAAATTATTACTACAAATAATTAATAAAAATCTATAAAGTAAAGCTTTGGGTGGGATTTATTTGAAGTACTTTCCTTACTCCAAAACTTAAGTGGATGCATCTCTGCTCTGAATGGGATTTGTGCTAGTTCTCTCTTTAATTTTTATCGCTTCTTTACCACTTGAAAACCACACTGAAGTATCCAACCAAAACCAAATCAGAAACCAAAACTGGAACTCTACTCCAACTCCGACACTGACTTTGACTTGTCTCAACTCGACTGGAATGGACGTCTCAAGTGGCTAAAAAAGTAGGAAGAGTTTAGGGAGTTTGGTGTAGTCATCGTAGCTGTTTCTGACTCATTTGCCATTCATTAGAATTAAGTGAGTGAGTGTGTGAGTCAGTGGGTGTTCTGGTATCCCAGCCATTTATGCCAATGGTATCCAATATCCTGGACTGGTAATTCGACACTCCAAGCACTCCACACACACCGCACACCACATACACACTTGCCGCGTACATAACGAGCTTCTTTCTTGTTGTTATTTTTTATTTTTTTTAATGACAGGCAATGAAATTAACGTCAAGCCAAGTCTAGGGCCCCTGCTCCTGGCCAATTCAATTCAATTTTGTACACGAACAGTACAGAAAGTGGACAAAAAAGAAATTAAACTTTGCAAAGGACACTCAAACTGGCGAAGCCAACTAACAACAAATTGCAAAAAGGCAGTGCCACTGGCAGTGGCATCAACAAAGGCATCGTGTTGCAAGTTATTCAATTAAAAGTTTTTTGTCAATGTCCCTGGACAAGGAGCTTTGATGCCATAAAAGGAGTATAGGTATCCATAGCGTAACTGATTTTTTTTTATTTTTATTTAGAGCTTCATCAGGAAATTCTCCTACGAAAATGTATAGTTTTTTAATTAATATTAAAGGATAATTGATGAAGGGTTTCCTTTGTCCCTTTTTATATGAGCCTGCAATTTGATTATTGATTTCGTTTTGTGGACTTTTGATTGGTGTAACAATATGGCAAGTAATTTAATTGAATATTGCTCTCGATCTCGGTTTCTGTCTCTGTCTCTCAATGTCAATATCAATTAAATCATTCGATTATGGAAATTTAAATAAAACAATTTCTGGTTTTTGCATTGATTGCAGTATCTTTCAGATGGTTATTGTTTTATAAAAGGTGGACAATAGTATGCACTTTAGCTATGGGAATTATTTGTATTTTAAAGATTGAGTGGTTGGTTTATATGATAAGATTTAAGGAACTAATGATAGGAAATAATAATAGAAAATTATAATAGGAAATAATATAGGAAAAAAAAAATAGAAAATAATAATAAGAAATAATAATAGAATTTCCAAACTAATTTTAAGGTATTTTATTTTAGGAAATGTATATGTTAAAGTGGAATCTTCGAGGGGAAAATTTGTATGCACTATAACTAAAAGGTTCAATGTTTTGCATGATATATTTAAATTTTATTTTAAACCAAATACAGAGAATAATTTGAAGTTGTTTCTTTATTTAAAGTAGCAACAAAAATTCAAGGAATCATACAATTTCCTATTATTTTTCTTTTTAGTATAAGTAATGGAAATTATGAGTGATTTATAATTGGTTTATATACTTAAATGTTACATAAATCAGTAGAGGTTTTAAAACCCCTAAAAAGTGTTTAAATGAACAATGAATTTGTTACTTTTAATATATTATTTCATATTTTTAAAACCTTTTTACAGCGTTTTTAAAACTGCATTAATTTCTGTAACAATCCTATGCACAAATAAAATATAAACCACTCCTAATAATAATAATAAATAATAAATAAATAAAATAAAAATAGAACAAATTAAGAGGGAAAAATTATACTTTTATTATGTATATATAATAAGAACTCTTAAATTTCCCTTTCTCTTTACACAATGCTGTGCTTGTAAAAAATATAAACTATTTCCAATTGAAAATGAAACATATAACAAATTAAGAGGGGAAAAATTATCCATTTATATTATTAAATATGAAAAACTCCTTTTAAACTCTTAAATTTTTCCTTTTCCCTTTACAGAGCCTTGGCATCCTGGCCTCCATTCCCGCTGGCCTCCTCATCATCTCATTGCTGGGACTTCTCCTCTATTTACTGACCCGATGCTGTGATCGCCGCCAAAGGAAACCCAGTGCCCAGCGATGCCAGAGCTGTTCCCTGGTCATCATCACACTGATGACCTGTGCGGCCATTGGATTAGGTGAGTTTTCCTAGGATTTCCAGCTAGATTACAGGTCATTGAACTGCAACTGCAATCGAAGTGGGAAATGCAGTGGCCAAAGCACGTATGTACATCGCGTGTTTGGCGGTTTTGCTGGCAATTAGCCAAACTGCCACTGCAACTTATCGGCTGGTCACGTATGTAAAGTCATCAGCCAAGAAGAAGTGGAGCCAAAAGTGGGAGGTTTTTTTTTTTTCACTGCTTGACCACCAGTGAGTCATCATGGAATTGGCGGCGACACAAACGATGAAATAATAATTTAATTAGCCGAGAGAGGAGAGGTCTTAATTGAATCAGAAATACGAAAATGTGTGTCGCATTACATCACTGACCTGCCGTAAATGATCTCCAACCCAAGCTCTGATCTCTCATAATTTATGTGTATATATATCTCTTTGATCTCCACCCGATTGTACATACATTAATGACCTGATCTTGCTCTATATATATATATTTACAGGCTTATATGGCAACGACGACTTTCATAATGGCCTATTGCAGGCCTTTGGTTCGGGAAAGAATGTTGAGGGACTGGTGCTTACCCTTAAAAGACAGGTGAGTTTTATTAAATTGAGAAAGTTTTTAAAGGTTAAAAGGTTAAACTAGAAATTGAGCTAGAAATTGGGTTTATATTTAGTTTGTATATAAAGAAATAAAAGGAAAAAAAGCTAAATTTTAAATACTTTCAAAGGGATGTATAAATAATAATAATAATAATAATAATAACATAAATAAAATATATTTTTAAATAAAAGATCAAGCTCTGAGAAGTTCTCTGGAAGGTCGTTGGTATTCTTGCAATAAGGTTTCCAGAGAACTTTTCAAAACTTGATATTTTATTTAATTATTTTCTTAATTTTTGGTTTTAGAATAGTCAATATATTTTAAAACCCAAAATCTTTTATATCTGATCTTAATGAGGGGTAAAGCTAGAGTTTAAACTGATATGAAAACCCTCTATTAAAGTTAATTTGTTATTTGTTTATATTTGTTTATATCTATTTTTTTTTATTTGTTTCCCTATTTTTTTATAAGTATTTTCCTAGTACTTACTTAACTTTTTATTATCTAAATTATAGGCTAAATTTTTTCACCTGTTAATACTTTATTTATTGTAGTTTTAATGTCAAATAGTAATATTACATAGAACATATTACATATTACTATTTGAAATTAAAACAACATTAAAGTAGATAATAAAAAGTTAAGTAAGTACTAAGAAAATACTTAGTAATATGTAATATGTATACATCCACAAATGTAGTTTAAAACTACAATTCATAATTGATATCTCACAAATGCTAATTAGTTTTGCAAATTTAATTTTGGTCAGTTTCCATTTAAGGGGAATCTATTTTGTGTGCGTGCGTGTGTCTCTAATAAATTATGAAATGATGATCATTTATAGACTTATGTACATATATGTATAGACTTTTGGCCATTTCCTGAGTGAGTCTGAAGTGGAATCTTTAACTGGGCTTAGTTACTCGTTTCTGGTTTGTTTTTGCCTCCTAGTTCTTTGGTTCTTTCACAAAACTTGTGCAATATTCCACCCATTGAAACCATTTGGTGGCTCCACGTCCAAGTCCTTTTTTTGTCCTCCTTTGCTCCTTCTGTTCATTATAATCAACCTAAAAGCTGGCTGCTGTGTGTGTGTTGACAGTTACGTGGCGGCAGTCACGTGGGAGGATGAGGATGAGGACGAGGACGAGGACAAGGATGGAGACTCCTGGCCAAAGCTTTTGCTATTCATAAACTTTGTCAGAGAGACTGAGACAGAGGCGGAGACAGGAGCAAAAGAGCCGATAAGGCAAAAGGTTAAGGGAGGCAGCATCAAAGGTAGACTACGACCCAGGACAACAGGCAGGACGAGGACGAGATGGCTGGCATTGCTCGGCTCTTGAGTAAAACGCTATTAATTATCCCCACACACACAAAGGGAAGGGGCTTCTTCTTCTACTCCTTCAAAACGATGGGGGCGTGGCAGACGTTGTGCGTGGCATCCCTTGAACCCCAGGAGTAACCCCACCCAAAAAAAAAAAAAAAATAAAAAAGAAAGAGGAAAAATAGAAAACCTGACCCAACCCCAGACCAAGTGCGGAAGCAAAAGTATTACGATAGAAACTATTTTTCCTTTTCCTTTTACCCATGCCTTTGTTTCAGACTGAAAACGTGACCTGGGGGGGAAAGGGAGGGAAGGGAGTGGGTGTTGCAAAGAGAGAGGGGGAGGGGAGACAGAGTCTAGGCGAAATCCCTTTACGCCCCCTCCCATAGACTCCACGCCCATTTTTGGTCATTAACTTTTGAACTGCTTTCACCTTTTTGGGAGGTCTGTGCAACTCGACTCGAATTGCATGTTGAGCACAGTGAAAAATTAATGAGTTTGAAGTATAAATAAGAGTTAAATGTTGTAATTTTAACGAGTAACTAAAAAAAAAACAGTAACTAGTAAGATTGTAACTAGTAACTAGCATAAAAAGCTAGAAACTTACATTAACTAGTACCCACAAGCTAGTTATTAATAGCTTGTACTTAGTAACTTAATTAAAGACAAAAATCAAAAATCTAGTAACTAGTAAATGGTAAATAGTAACTAGCAAATAATAGGAATTTGCTAGTAGCTATTAAATAGTAACAAGGAGCTAAAACCTGAAAAGAAAAACTAGAACCCCAGAAACTAGAAATATAAAATGTAAAATCTAGAGTCTAATAATTTAGAAACTTAAAACGAAACAAAAGCAACAAGTAACAAGTGTAGCGAGTAACCAGAAACAAGTAACTGGAAACATACCAACGAGAATCTACAAGGTTTTATCTAATAACTAGTACCTAGTAACTATTTAATATTAGGGTATTATAATTTCAGTCAGAACCTTGCTACAATCATTTCCGACCCTATAAATCATATATATTCTTGATCAGCATCAACAGCCGAATCGATTTAGCCATCTCAGGCTGAAAAATAATTTGTTTAATTTTTTCACAATTTTTAAGGGGTAAAATCGTTAAAATTGTCAACAAAATATTTAGTAAAAATTTAAATTTTGTAAAATTTTAAATTGAGTATGCAGATTTATAAATTTAATAAAAACTAACATTAGACAGCTTTCCGAACTGAAATTAATGAGTTTTTGGCAAAGTTATGAGTTTTTCTAAATTTGATTTGTTGAATAAATTGTCATATAAAAATCTCGATTAATATTGATTCAAAAGTTGATTTAATCCTATAATTAATAGGGAAACTGCAAGGCTATATAAACTTGGGCTTCCTAAAGTTAGTTTCCTTTCTCGTTACTTATGAAATCGTAGAAGTAAAGAGCATAAAGAGTAACGAGTAACAAATAACTAGTAACGAGTTATTGTAAGAGTTTGTATATCTTTTTAATTTATATATTTCAAATGTATATTTACTTACTAACTTTAGTTTTGATTAAAGAAAATTCTACAAATTTCTCACCGTGTTTTTTTTGTATATATTTTCCAGACGGAGAGCATTAAGCACGACTTGGAGACGCGGATGAACGGTCACAATGTGGACCAGCAGGTGGAGAAGCCACAATATAACCAGACGGTGGTCATGCTTCTCATTGAGACATCGCGCCTGGTCACGGAGAACACCTCACGGGCGGTGGCCTCACTGGATAGCATGGTTCATTATTTCATGAAGGCCAAGGGCACTGAGAATGACACCTCACTGATGGGACTGCTGCAGGTGAGCTTCTACAGATCTTATAAATACCTATAACTAATCCTATAACTTTATTTTTAGCTTGGTGAATTCTATGAATCGATTCGATGGCCCGCCACTTTGGCCTTCCTCACCATGCTCTTGCTGCTGTGCACTGTCCTGGTGATTGGAGTTGCCCGTAGATCACGCTGCACTTTGATCTTCTTTAGTGTTTCGGGTCTGTTTTGCATCATCATCTGTTGGCTGCTGACTGGCATTTATTTGGCATCCAGTGTGGCTGCCGGTGATTTTTGTATGCGTCCGCATGACTACATGTGCCGTCAAGTGGGCATGGTAAGCAGTGGACACGCCTCCTTCTCAAGATTTTGCTATAATTAATATTTATTTAATAGCGGAGTCCGTATGTGGATTTCCTGAATTGCGGCACACCGCGTAATCGATTTATTTTACGGCTAAACGAGTCCCGGGATCTGGTGGATCGGGCCAGGGAGAGTGTCGAGCAAATGGCCCGGTGAGTGATTGGAACTTGATTAAAAATAGATATAAGGAAAAGCTATTCCTGCTTTTGCTTCAAGTTTATTTAAAGAAAACACTATCCATGTATCGCTCGATTCTATAATTATATTCTTTGCTTGCAGTTTGAGCCAGGAAACTTATCCGCACATTGACATTCAGCGGACATTGACAGCCATGGATAATGATTTGCAGCAGACGCTACGCAATTTGACGACATTATCGGCTACCCTGGATCGTCGAGCCATCGATAGGCATTATGAGGAGGCTTTACGTGGCCTTTGCGGTGGCGGTCTCCTTGGATTGAGTCTAATGATGGTGGCTGGTCTGCTCACATCCTTCCTGCTCACAATTCTAGTGTATGCTGACTCGCATGCCTGGATCTATTTGAGCAAGAGGTAGGGAAATTATACACTTTTTTTTGTCTCAATTGATATTATATCTCTGATTTGATTTACTTTAGGCCCCCACTGGATGCCGATAAATCGGAGACGGCACCGCTATTCCCCGCCTCGAATGCACCAAGTGCCAGCATTTCGCCCACAGCACCCATGGGCACGGGGACAATCAATCGCACACTGTTGCATCATCAGCAGGCTGCTGGTGGTGTCGGTGTTGGAGGAGGATCGGGCACACTGCCTGGCTCTGGCAGTGGTGGAGGCGGGGGCGGTGGAGGCCCCAATGGACATCATAATGGCGTTGGAGCTTATCGCAATGGAACGGCCGGACTGAGACAAGGGTTGGTGGCATCACCTTCATCACAATCAAGCCACACAACCTCATCCACCGCCACTTACAACCACCTCAACCAACAACTGCACGGCATCGGTTACAACAGTCACCTGCCACCACCACAACAACAACAACAACAACAACACCTGTACAGCAACAACCACCACTACAACAACCACAGCAACCACTACAACAGCAACAACACACAGCAATATAGAACTAACTCCGCGGCAGGTGCGGCGGTGGGTGGCCAGCGATCGCCATCGCCGCCGCCCGGCTACGATTTGGTGCATGGCACAAGGCATGAACTTTGATTTCATTTGATTTATATATTCCCTTTTTTCCTTAAAAAAAAAACAACCCCCCACCTTAAGACACACCACACACCTGCCTTATTATCCTGTTAAGTTCCTTTACCGATTCCTTTTTCTGTCCCCTCCCTATACCCTGATACGTTTGAGCCCGCTGCTGTGGAGATTGTGGAATAGTTTTTGTCCGATTTGAAAGACTCTTTTTGAAAAGTTTTTAGGATTCTGGGGATTTCTTTAATGTTTTGACAATGATCCTTATCAGCTAGTGACAACAACAAGACTAAGATTTGCCCATTTTTGTCCGCTTTCCTATTGGTGTATTGGTGAATTGTTAAGAAAAGGTTTTAGGCTTAAAAATTAAAGAGCTCGAAATGACACAACAATTGTCCAAAGTCCGAAGAAAATATCCAAATCATTCCAATTGCAAACTTTTTACTTATTCGCTGTACTGATGAATTGGAGAATTGTTGAAAACATAAGTTTCTTAGACGTAATAATAAAAATATTTGAATTTGTACAACCAATACATATAAACTCTTATTATTTACTTAGCTCTCTGACAGAAAAGAAATTGTTTATAATAGAGAAATTTTAATCAGAGTTTTATATTCTAAAGAGATTCTTTGAGTTTCTTATTGTTGAAAGATTATCACAATTTTAATGTTTAAAATATCAAATTTAAGTAGCGGGCTCCTCGTCTTTATTATGATTGAGGCTTTTGTTTAACGTTGTTGTTCTTGTTTTAGTTAAACTTTTGATTTGATTATATATATATTTATATATATCAATATATATTTGTCGTTTGTCGTTGCTCCTTTCACCTGCATGAAAAGACACACACAAAGACAGTGAACACCAGCACACACACACACACGCACCACAAATGCACACATACAATTACACACACAACGACAGCCCCGACCCTGACCCTGACCCTGACCCTGACCCTGACCCCCACCAAAAACTTGAACTAAAACTTAAAAACATACCACTTTATGCACCTTACTAATAAACCCACCCTCCATGCAGATGATAAAGACGAAGAGATAATAATCTTAATCTTAACTTGACTAATCTTTAAACTTTTTTTACTAGAAGATTATTTGTAGATTTTTTAAGAAAAGAAATGTAAATAGGGATATTAGATGCCATTTTCTTAGAGTTTAGAGTAGGGAATACAGAAAATATTCAATATATTTTATTGTATTTAAAATACGAAGCTTATATTTGTCTGTTTTATATAGTTTAAAGCTTTAAATCAATGTTATAAGAAGATATACACGTTACAGACTAGGTAAAAATGTTTTTTTTCTATTTAAAGAATATTACAACGAAGTTTTTTAGCTAAAATTTGTTTATCGATGTGTGAAGCATCTTCTTCAGTAGTTTTTAGCTTTCTAGTTCCCAAATCATTACTAAAATCGTTCTTGTTTCAAAAATATAACGAAAACTAAATGAATACCTCAATATCCTTACACTTTAGCTTCGATTTAGCTGGTTAAACTTTTTAAAAACTCACAGATATAGGCAGTTTCCATAGTTAAATATATGTAGTTTGGTTTATATCTTAGAGACAGGTGCTAACTAAACCCCCTTCTCTTTCCACTTTATCCTTCACTTAACTAATTACCTTCTCCTTGCTCTAATTGCAGGTCCGGTCACCATACCCTAGGACGCCTGCCGTCGCATCATCAACAATCGGCTTCGTATTTGCCGGGACCGAATAATGGAAAATATGCGACACTCAGCAAGCAGTGTAAGACGCTTGAGTCCAACGACTTCTACTGAGATTCGCTTGCCTGCAGCTCCCATGCAGGCAGTAGCAGCAACACAGCACAGCAGCAGCAGCAGCAGCAGTTGCACCTCCAGCAGCAGCAGCAGCAGCAACAGCAACAGCAGCAGCATCATAATAGCAGTCTAATCAATCAGAACCAGAGCACCCTGAAGAACATCTTTGCATCGGCCACACTGCCCCGTTCCACGGGCAGTTCCATTCGGTCGGTGCTCTCGGCCCAGACTTCCAATGCCGGCATATGCCGCTCCACGGGGAATGGCCTCGATGGTGGCGACTTCGTGGATGATCGTGATCCCCGGGATGTGACCAACAACAGTTTCAATCGCTTCGATCCCAAATACATTAGCATCGGCCCCAAGGCGGTGCGTGGACAGAATAATAATCTAAATATTATGTCCGCTGCCGGTGGCATCTCTTCCACGGCCAACAAGTGTGCCACATTGCGTCATGTTGGTCGTTATGGTGGCTCCCTGAAAGGTGTTTCCGCTGTCAGTGCCGCACAATCACCAGCTATGGTAGCCCCGGCTGTACATTCACCAAACTTGAGGAGCGCCAAAACGCCATCGATAGCAACTGTTTCGAAGGATTACTGTCAGCAGCCGGACTGCATACCCCAGGAGTTCCTCATACAACAGCAGCAGCAGCAGCAACAACAATTGCAGCAGCAGCAACAGCAACAGTTGCAACTCCAGCAGCAGCAGCAGCAGCAACTGCAACAGCAACTCCAGCAACAGCAGCTGCAACTCCAACAGCAACAGCAACAACAGCAAATGGTGCCACCTGCTCCGCCCCAACCAGCGCCACCGCCGCCACCAAAACCAAAGATAGTGAATACATTTACAGAGATACCCGGCACCACAGGCGTGGGCAGTTCATATGCCAAGGAGCAGCAGCAGCAGCAGCAATTACTGGCCCTGCAGCAGCAACAACAGCAGCAACTGTTGGCCCTGCAGCAGCAGAGGGAGCGAGAACGTGAACGAGAACGAGAAAGAGAAAGGGAGCGAGAGCGAGAGCGAGAGCGGGAGCAGCAGCAACAGCGGGAGTTGCATCCACCAACCACGCACATATTGCCACCCTCGGCTGTGTATAGTATCGAGAGCAGCGATGTCCTGCCCACAGCAGCTCCGCGTGTGCAGCAACGTTCCCTAAATCCCGCCTCCATAGTAAACCAGCCGCTGCCCGAAATACCCACGAATCAGAATTCAAAGATCTCCGCTCAGCCGCTGTGCGCCGCCAGCCTGGGTCAATATCGTTCCCTGCAGCGACCCCAAACGCAAAAGTTGCAGACGGTAGCAGTGTCGCAGCAGCAGCAGCAGCAACCGCCCACGTTGCCGCCCAAGAATAGGCATAAAAATAGTAATCGAGGCGGGGATAGCAGCAATGCCAATCATATGCAAACACTGCCGCCCAAGTCGGTGAGTTTGAGGCAGCAACAGCAGCAGCAGCAGCAGCAGGAGCGGGAAAGGGAACGCGAGCGAGAGCGACCCAGGCGAGCGGAGACCCTGGACAATGCCCGCAGCTATATCGAGCAGCAGCAGCAGCAATATCCCAGCCAGTTGATAACCAGCAGCATGAAAAAGCAGCATTCCTACGATAGCAGCTATCATCAGCAACAGCAGCAGCAGCAGCAGCAGCAAGCGGCAGCACAGCAGCAGGCCTACTATCAGCGGCAGCACAACAACAATTTCTCCTCCAAGCAACAGCAACAATTGCTGCTAGAGCAACAGCAGCAGCAGCAGCAACAGCAGCAGGCGCTATTCTATAGATCCCTCAAAAGGGGCGGCGAACGTGGTGGTGCTGCCACAGCCACGGCTGGGATGAGCAACCACAGTGATCTATATTCTGTGACGGAATTGTAGGAATGCGCCTGCTGCGGCGGCGGTGTGGATGTGGTGCGTCGGGGCGCCTCATCCACATCGCTGCACGCAGCGGCGGCCACACAGACGACACAAAATCAAACCCAATCGCAGTCCCAGGCGCCCATACCCCTGCCACCCAAGAAGCATCGTCAACGGGAGCGGGAAAGAGAGCAGCGAGAGAGGGAGCAACAGCAGCAGCAGCAGGCGCAGGCCACCTGCAATGCCAATCTGTGCGAGGAGCACGAATACGATGAGTACTATCCGCAGGCCTTTGAGATGCAAGGAGGCACAGGATCGGCAGCAGCAGCAGCAGCAGCAGTTGCAACTGCTAGCTCCAAGCATAGCAAGCAACAAAGCCAGCAAAGAGCAGCCACCTTCGATGTGGCCGATGCCCGAGACTATGAGCTCAAGCGTTTGGGCAATCGCAGATCCCAACAGCAGGCGGCGCCAAGCAAACGAAATGGTGGAAATGGAGGAGCAGGAGGAGCAGGATCAGCTGCTGCTACCACTCAGGATCATCATCGCAGTCATGATCGTGAGCGATCTCGCAGTGATCATCGCATTGCAAGCTATGCCTGCGACGAGATCAACTCAACGGCGCTATGCAGTGCCGGCTCCATGAGCTCCATGCTGCAGGCAACGAATGGAACTGGTCACAACAGGAGCAGCAGCCATCAGCGGGAACATCATACGCGTGAGCAGCAGCAGCAGCAACAGCAACAACAGCAGCAACAACAGCGGGATCGACGCGAGAAGACCTTCAAGGTATGATTTTTAGAGACGTCATAAGAATTATCCAATCCGCGCCAGGATAGCAGCAGCAGCAGTAGGAATGGCAGCTCCAGGCGGCGGACGCGTTGAGGGGAAATGGAAGCGAACGTGGCGGATTCTATAGCGGTTAATATATATATATCTTGATATAGATATATATATAGAAGGAGTAGAAGGATAAAGCATAACCACAACCGAAACTGAAACCATCGAGGAAGGAGCATTGGAAGAAGCCCCCTGCCTGTTTTTTATATGTTTAGCTTAAGTCGCGTGTACTCTATCTATCTATCTCCATCTCTCTCTCTGTGTAACACTGTCCCCCTCTTCACCCTGTCTCTGTCGCACGCACACAAAACAAGGAAAACGAACACACATGCGTATATATTAATTATATACATAAATATTGTAAAAAAAAGAAAACACACACAAATCGACCTCTCCCTGATTGATTCAAATTGCAAAACTGCTGCTAGAATGCTACAAAAAACAAAGAAGAAGAGAAAACTGTTAATACCAGAGAGGCGGTGATCAAAATAACGGTATGCGAGCTGTTAATTAACAGAGCTTTAGAATTCCCAACTGCTAAGATGCGTTCCTTTTTTAAATAAGTCAATTTCTTTAATTTCATTCAAGAAAAATGTAGAAAAAATTCAAACTTGCAATAATTACACTATAAAAATTATACACATTCTTTTAAATCTTTTTAAAATATTTATCTTTATTTTAATTACTGCCTCTTGTGGTGTTTACAGCGTATATAAACATATACACACATCATACATCAAAAAAACCTACATCAGTTCTCTGCTCTGTGTTGTTGCCTATTGTTATATATATATAGTATTTAGTATACATAATGCCCTACGTTTAAAAACCATAACGAATACTTTTTTTGTGACCACTATATATATATATATTTATATGTGTATATTTTTAAATCCTAAGTTAAGTGAGATTTAGTTTGTAAGCGCCAAGCCTATTTATTTACGACAGATTGTAAGGAAAAACCCTTCTCCCTTAGCCTTTGAGCCCCACCAAATCCCAGAAAATATCATCCAAATATCGGTTGAAAAGCGGAAAAGTTAAAAACCGAGGAAAATTTAAGAAAATGTTCATCAAATTTCCATAATATCTTTAAGAAAGGTCATATCTTGATGTTCGTAAATTATTTCTAATTTAAAAGATAAATATTTTCTTTTCAAACAAGAAAATATGAAACCTTTTTGAAAAAGGAAGACATTTTCTTGAAATATCATTTTCCTGGCTGTACGATCATGGGAAAAGCCCTTGTATTTTATTGTTTTTAATTAGTATAAATATTTTTTTGTATAGAGTTAATTGCAATATTTTTTACAAGAGGCTTTCCGTTGATTGTTTTTCCGCTTTTCCAACCAATTTTTTTTTGTAAATTGTTCATAAGAAGCGTGTGTGTGTTTTTTAAAAATTTTATTTATTATCCACTCTTTTTTTTTTCTTTGGATATTTCTGCATAAGCAAAATTAAATTTTAGATTTTTTATTATTTTGAGAATCCGTTGCGAGAACCAACAACAACAACAACAACCACAGCGACACGTACGTAAAATTTTTGTGACGTCAGAAATCTAAAAAACAAAAACAAAACAAACTAAGAAACTAAACAACAGCAAAAAACAAACAAAAAGCACAAGGCAACCAACAAACAAACAAAGAAACAAAACAAAAAGTTAAAGAAAGAAAAACACCAAAATACAAGCGATAAAGAAGGAGAAAGAAGAGAAAAAGTCAAACAGAAAACATTTCACAAAACAAAACATAAGGTAAATGGAAAAAGAAGTTTTACATTAAAAAAAAGAGAGACATGAAATGAAAAGTTCTTAACTCAAGCAATACATTTAACGAAAAAAATAAGGAAAATTAAATAGAAAATAGCAAAAAGAAGGAACGGAAAGAAGAGGAAAACGAAAACGAAAACGAAAAAAAGGAAGCCATACAAAAAGTTGTTCAACTATTTTAAAGAAAAACCCAAGAAAATTCAGCTAACGAAAATAATGATAATGCAAGCAAAACATATATACATAAAACATTAAAACATTAAATACATAAAAAAATACATACTTATTATAGAGCAAGCATTAAGGAATATTAATTAATTAATTAATCGACAACAACAACAACAACAAACAATGTTCAGGTCAATAACTGCATTTAAAGGGAGAACAAAAAACATAAAAATAAAAATAAATGAGACGAGAATAGGCGTTAAATTAAACGAAAGAATGCTCTTTTATATACAACTATATATACATGCGAATATATATATATATATAAATATATATTAAACGAATTGCAATTACCCGAAAATAAAAAAACGAAAAAACAATTACCACACACATACAGACAAGCCATCAGAAAACACACACACACACACACAAATAAAGTAATAATTAAAAAAAACAAAGCAACTCACAAAAAAACATTTGATAGAAATTAACATAATTATACACAAGAAAATAAATACAAACAACAAATACATAAAACATAAAACACTCACAAAATGCGAGCAATTGTGGGCAAAATAATTATAGTGCCATTAGATTTCCAATAAAAAAAAAATAATAAATTAAAAACAAAAGAAAAATCTATAAAATAAAGTGTAAATTGAACTGAATTTTATTTAATTTCAATCAATTGTATAAATATAAAATTTGTTTATTTCATTTTGGCAAAGGTTTAGAAATACTTGAGAAAACGTATTTTACGAGTTTAAAAAGCTGAAAAATATTAAGTCTATCAATTAAAATTCGATATTTTTGATTCTTTAAAACTTTCTTTAACTTCCTGTAAAGATATCAATGTTTATCGATTTTAAATCGATTTTTGTACCGATTATTTTGCAACTCTTGCTAGAAAACTTCTTTGTATTTAAATTCAAGTGGGTTTTTGACTCAATTGATTAAATTATTTCCATTTCACAGCTGTAATAATTTCAAGAATTTCTTATTTTCTCTATTAATTTTCAAGGCATCACTATTATTTTGACCACAATTGTGGACAACACTTAGCGAATTGAAATGCAAAATAAAAAGGGGTTAAGGACACAAAGGAAACACACACAAAAATAAACATATGTACATTATATTCTCTCTGCTGTGCAGATGCAAATAAAATGAGGAATAACTTGAAAAAAATCATTTTTGAGTTGCACACACACAAACAACACATGCACACACATATACACATAGAACACACACACTTTCGCTGTATCTCTCAAACTCTCACTGTGTCTATCAATGTATCTCGTCACTCTGAATACATTCCAAAATCCACAAAAAAATCCCCAAAAAAATCAAAGTTAAAAAATCAAAGAAAAGAGAAAAAAAATGAACTACGAAAAAAGAGCCCACCATCACCAGCCATTGTTTCCACTGTAGCTTGCACAGGATCTTCGCTCAAAAGGGGAACCCCCTCGACCGCTCTCTGTCTCTCTCTCTCTATCTCTATCTATCTCTCTCTATTAGCAAAAGTTAACATAAACACTCGAGGATGAAAGTTAATTGGCAAAGGTGTTATTAGCATACACTTTAAGAAATCAAAGGATAACTGCTCCTGTCCTGTATATATAAATATACGATCTGCATTAAATCTAAAAACTATAAAAGTATGACTCTGTGTGTGTGTGTGAGGTGTGAGTGTGTATGTGTTGTTTGCAATTAATTTTAAATGTATTTTTTTTTTAAATTCGAAATATAGAAATTTTTGAAAATTCGTAAATGCGAAATGTTTCAAAAAAAAAAAAAAAAAACAAAACGTTTGTAGCGTAGTGTAGTCAGTAGCTGAGTTTAAGTATTAAGGCCAAAATAGATTTTAAAAAAGGAAGCCACGAAAAAAATAAGGAAGAATTCGAGAGCGAAGAATTAAGCAAAGAATACCAAATAATTGCAGAAGACAGGCGCAGAGGCAGGTATTTACTTATAGCATTTAAAATTCTAAAGCAAAACGAAACAAAAAAATTATTAAATAATAAATAAATAATAAAAAATTAAAACAACATTAAATCAAACACAATTAAACACGAAACGTATGTAATACATTAAAAAAAAAATGAAGACAGTCAAATGTTTCCACGTTTTAGCCATTTAAAAAGAGAACCGGAAACCAGCGCACATTTTCTTACTTTAAAACTGACGCAAAGCCATCTAATTAAAATGATATTAACAAAATATATAGTATATATAATAAATATATATATAGTATATATAAAGAATTTTTTTATTTAAAAAAAAACGAAAGCAAAGTTGTGTGTGTGTGTGGTAGCCCGTAAGTTTTTATGGGGCATTTTCCGTTTTTTGGTTTTTGATTTTGATTTTGAAGACAATTCTTCTCGCGTGGCGTTCGCGCTGGAAAACCTTGCCCGCGGCGGCGATTTTTAGCAAAAACGTTTCAGCCGACAAAATGTTATATATAAATTAAATGTTACGTAATCAAAACAGAAAAATGCGAAAAAAATAATTATATAACAGTTGTGAACAAATTATATTTACATAGCGTATAAATAAATTGCATAACAATTGATTAAAATATATAAGAATAGAGTGTTTTACTTAAATATTAATATAAACAATATATTCATTTTAATTTATTTATCTCATCTAAACTTATTTAAATTTTTGTAAAGTTTTCCTTTGAAAGAATACCTTTGAAGGATATTATAATTTAATTCAGAAGCTTAAAACTAAGTGAAGAAGTCATTTCAGACCCCATATATCATATATATTCTTGATCAGCATCAACAGGGGAGTCGATCTAGCTATATCCGTTCGAAAAATAAATTTTCGAAATTTTCCAACATTTTTTAATGGGTTATTTCATAAAAATTGGACACAGAAAAATTAGAAAAAATTTTAATTTTCTAAAATTTTATATGAAGTATGCAGATTTACAATCGTACAAAAAACTAACATAAAACAGTTTTCCGATTTGAAATTAATGCATTTTTGACTAATTTATGATAGATTTTCTCCGCAAGGAAATAGCAATGTTCAAGTTCTGAAATTAACTTTATTCTCAGTTTTTTATTTTAAAGTTTTTCATAAGCTTTACTTAAAAATAAGTTTTTATTTTAATTTATTTTATTAAATTTGCATGCATTACTATTATAATTTTCTTACTATCATTAGTTTTTTAATATTTCAACAGAAAATGTTTAATAGTTTAAATTTTAACCGCTCTACGTTCGATAACATTCGATAGGACGCAATGCTGCCCATTTCTAACAGCCGGTGTTTTCTTCGTTTCAGTCAAATCTCTGGCATTTTAAGGTTTCAGAACTCTGGTCACATTGCGACAAACAAAAAGTTAATTAATTCTCTCGCAGTTGCTTAATTTATTCAAATGCATCCCCTAGAATCAACAACAACAAGGATGTACGATGTAAGCAGGTTCCAGACCCTATTCGTTGTCGTAAATGATGCCGGCAATGATGATGGCGATGAAGATGACGATGCAATTGAAGAAGAAGAGGATGACATGGATGACTTTATCTGTCGCGAGTCGCAGGAGATGTATGATGAGGAATTGGCCCTGGAGCGAGAGGAACAAGAGTTTGAGGAGCGAAATCTGGGGAATCTAGAGTATCCCAAGGGTGAGGTTAATTAATCCTTAAATATTACCTTGAATTATACGCTTAATTGTCCTCGCAGGACTCCAATCCTTTGCCTGCCGCAGCTGCCCCGAAAGCTTTTCCAGTCGAAAGGAGCTTTCCGCACACCGACGGCAACTCCATAGTCGTTGCCCCGCCGAAAATGGCACGCCAAAGAAACCGTCTTCTGAATTAACCTGCGAAATATGCGGCAAGATGTTTCAAAGACACAGTGCCCTCGTGGATCACATGAACTCCCATTCGGATCAAAGGAATTTCCCTTGCCCGCAGTGCCCGGCTCGATTTGTCCAACGCGTGAATAGGGATCGCCATGTGAGTTACAAACATCTCAAAGAGTATTTATTTCCCTGCCCGGAGGACGGTTGTGAGAGACGCTTTCAGAAGCGTCGTGAACGGGATCAGCATGTGAAGACAGTGCATCGCCAGGAGCGGGATTTCGTTTGCAGCCTCTGTCAGGCCACATTCAGTCATCCGGTGAATTACAAAAAGCATCTTGCCTCGCATAGTTCAGTCAAATCCTTTAGCTGTCACATTTGCAAGAAACTCTTTGGACGTCAGGAGAACCGAGATGTCCATCTATTCGTTCACAGCCTTTGCAAGGCTTACGTTTGCTCCGTTTGTGGGGCAGACTATATGCGTCGCCAGCAATTGATTCGTCATAGTGCAGCCAGTGGTCATGTAAATGACAAGATTGTGCGACAAAAGCCGCAATTTAGTGCTGCTTTTACTCAAAAACCCACAGAAAAGGAGGATAATACGCAGACGAATCAATCTAAATATCAAGGAGAAGGAGAAGCAGATCAAAAAGACTTACTGGACTTGAATGTAAAGGAGGAGGAGCAGGAAGAGTTTATCTGAACTAAAGGTAAGCTAATGGGAGAGAAGAATAAAGACTAGTTCTGTGATTGCAAGTCAATTTGTAAATGAAATCAACAATGATAAAAATTCTGAAGATTTTAATGCAGAATTATTAAACCTTTTGTGGTATTTAATATTAATTTTATTCAAGAAAACTTGCCTGCAAATTGTATATATAAAGCAGAGATAAACTCTATTGAATATTAATTAGTTTAAAAATATTTTATTCAGTAAAATTTTTAAAATAATGAAAGAGATGAAAACTCTTGAATATTAATTATTTGAAAAATATTTTAATTAGTTAAATTTCTAAAAAGAAAGAAAGAAAAGAAAACTCTTGCAAATTGATTATTTGAAGATTTTAATTCAGTAAAATTTGTAAAAAAAAAGCAAGAGGTAAACTCTTTTGAATATTGAATGTTTAAAAATATTTCATTCAGTAAAATTTGTAAATAAAATTGTAATTATATGGTATTTTTTACCAAAAATAAACTGAAATGATTTAAATGCTGAAAAAATTGAAGTACTTTTTATTAAAGTAAAAGAAAACCTCTTTATTATTTATATTAATTATTATTTAACATTTCGTTTAACAATTAAACTTATTAACACAACATTAAACTCACTTTTTATTTAAACTTTATTATGATTTTAAAAAGAATCCATAATGAACCAGGGGGTTCATGGTTCTTTTTCGAAACACTTTTTGACTTGACAATTTTTTGGCACAGAAATATACAAATTATTTTCAAACACTCTTGAAATATTACGTATTCTACCCTATCCTTTAATTATAATATTTAAATAGTAAGATAAAATAGGTAAATAAATACCTCTAATATTTTTTTTATCGCCTTTCCTGATTGAATTCCCATTCATAATCTCCACTTTTTTTTGCTAACACATCGACACCGCTGAGCTCTTTCAACTAAAATGCGATAAATGAATGAAAATAAACAGTAACAACAAATAAAAATAAGCAACAATTATTACCGCATGCAAAACATGAAGCAGAAGCAGCAAACGAAAAGTAAAAAACAAGATAAAAAAAAAAGAAAACAAGCAAAGCGCGAATAAAAAGTGAATGTCGTTTGCTGCTGTTGCACTTTAATACAAAAAAAAAGAAAAACTGTTGAAAAAAAAAAATGTGAAATGAAATAAAATGAAATGTATGGTGGTTACACCTGCCTCCCCTTTCCGCCGGATCCCTTGGAGTGGGTTCAAAATTAACAAAAATCAGGCATAAAACTCATAAATAACAAAAGGAAAAAAGAGAAAAAAAAAAGACAACACGAAAGGGGCGGCGGGGTTAACAACAATAAACGATAAAAATGAAATTATTTAACACCTTTTTTATGGCTCATTTCGGTGTTAATGTGTGAGCAAAATATTTAAAGCCCTGCCCCTGCAAAATTCGCACATAATTCCCACATTGATCGGTCGCCCGATCGATCTCCCTCATTTTAACTTATCGATAACCAATGGTCAGCCATAAACCTGTCATAAGCTAATCCCCCCTTAACCTTTTTTTCTTCTCTCTCTCTCTCTCTTTCTTTTTTTTCATAATTTTTTTGGGTTTATTGTTCCACCTGTCACATTTCGAATCAAACGAAAATTATCTAATTTATCGTTGTTGTTCACCTTTCGATTGTTGTGCCTGAATGAACTTGTCGACACAGTTAAGATTCCAAGAAAGAAAGAAGATTGCCCCCAAGGCGGGGTTTACATAAGCTATGGTTGACCCTGCCCAAAATACATATTTGGGGGGGATTACCTCAAGTCCGGTTGAGTTCATTCAACAAACCCTGCCGGGTTTTATAGATGGGTTAAGTAGATCAGATCTGTGAAAGGTTAATTACCAGAGAGTAGGATTTTGGGATGCAAGTTTTTATTGATATTATCTTACTTTGCATTAGTTTATATATTTATTTATTTCGAAATTGAATAAGTTCTAAGGAAGATACCATAAAACACTATTTATTTCCTATTGAGACCTATGGTAACTCGGGAACCTTGATTACCAGAGATTTGAGTTTTGGTATGCAGTAATTATACAGTCGAGTCGATCTAGCCATATCAAAATTTTCATTATTTTCCATTGCAATTGTCAAAAATTAACAAAAACATTTTAATTTTTTGCAATTTTAAATTAGGTATGCAGATTTATTAACCAACTAAAAACTAATATAGAAGAGCTTTATATTACTTTAATATTTTTCATTTTATTGTTAATTGTAGAGCTCAAATCAGTTAAGGGAATAAGAACCTATACAACGCGAGTAATATCTCAATATTTACTATTTTTAAATAGAGATTTAGTTTTAAAATCCACTCCACCATTACATAAATTTATTACTATTATTAGATGCTTACAATTTTATAATTTAAAGTTTCCCCTTCAACTGTTTAATTGTTTTAATAATAATTTCGAAATTTTAAATTCGGTTTGCAGCACTGTTAGCAGATTCCACTTAGAACTGCTTTCTCTAATTGGGTTCTCTGTTACCGTGTATCTGTAAACGAGTAAAATGTTACTCCTAACATGGTTCTGTTAAGTTCCAGGAGCAAATTAACAGAACGGACGAAAAGAGAAAGCAAACGAAAAAATAATTCGCCAAAGACGCACGCATTGCAGATCGCTCCGTGAAAAAATTGAATTGCGGAAAAACTAACGGCGGAAAACTCCGGAAAAGTGGTGGAAATAAGTGAAAACATTGAGCTCTATCAGTGGAAAGTGTTTGTTTGTGGGGGCAAGGCCTGTATTAGCCCCAATAAGAAAATCGGGCTCCTGTTCCGTATGTGTGTGTGTTTTTTTCCACAGCCAAGATCCCTGCGTTGTTTTTGGCTAGTTTTGTTGTTTTTTTTATGTGCAAGTGCAATAAATATGAGTGTGCCAACACCCTTAACTAACTAGAACGTTAAACTTGTGTGTGCGAGTGTGCGAAAGTACTCTAATTTGCCAATTGGGATCAGCAGCAACAACAATGTCGGATATGCAGCAACAACAATGCAAGCGGGTGAGTCATCCAAAGCTATTTTTTCTTTCGCTTATCCTCGTTTTCCTTTGCCTTCGCGCGCGCGAATTTTTTTTTTGCTCTCGCCGTTAGTGGCCGTGCTCTCGTCCTGGAAAGTGTAACTTGAGAGAGAGAGAGAGAGCGGGAGAGCCGCTTAACGAATTCGATCCTCTCTTGTGGGTGAGAATTTTGATATTTTGAGAGTTGGAAAATGCCGTTGTTTACCTTTTCTCTCCTTGGCAATTTCTTGGTTTGGGGAGGGGGAGGAATTAAATGGCAGCGAAACTTAATGAAATTTAATTAATATAATTATTGCTTTCAAGCCTTATTTACTAGTAGTTGTTTTATAATATATATTTTATAGAACTGTTTAATAATTATTTTATACGATTTTAAAAAATTGTTATTTGATTTTTGATGGAATTAAAATTTAATTGACCTGGGTTGTTTAAATATCTCTGTTTTATATCTCTCCTGTTAGTTTCTATTTGCTTTCTAATGTACAAGGGTATATCCCTTGGCGTGTCGAACTTACTTTCTTTTCTAGTTTACTCTTAGTCCGTTATACCCTTTGCAGGGTACTATAATTTTAGTCCGAAGTTTAAAAAGTGGTGAAGGAGTCATTTCCGACCCTATAAACCATATATATTCTTGATCAGCTTTAACTGGCGAATCTTTCTAGACATGATCCATGGCAAAAAATAATTTAAAATTTTTTTCAATTTTTTTAAGGGGATAATTTATTAAATTAAAAAAAAAAAATTACAAAAATTTTTCAAAATGAGTATGCAGATTTATTAAACCAATAAAAACTAGCAAAGAACAGCTTTCCGAAATTAAATAATTGCTTTTTTGGCTTAGTTGTGATATTTTTAAAGTTTGACTTAGAAAGTTAGTTTCCTTTTTGGTTTTGAATATAAACAGTTTATTAATTTAAAATCGAAAGCTTCTCTAAGGAAATGTATTTATATTATATCATAATCTATGTAGCTAACCTATAATATCTCTAAAGTCTTTATGGTCAGAGTCCTTTCTTTCAGTATTCCATAAATTCTTTGCATAAACAATCTATATACCAAAAAGTAAACAAGAATATAAAGTTCTCCTTAAATATCCTAATAATTTTTATAAATATATTTATAACCTATAAAGATAGATTCATAAATGCATCTTGATGATATGACTCAGTCTGGAGGCAGTAATTTATGTACCTAACCTATAATATCTCTAAAGTCTTTATGATCAGAGTCCTATCTTTCAGTATCCCATAAATTCTTTGCATAGGCAATCTATATACCAAAAAGTAAGCAAGACTGTAAAGCACTTCTTACATATTTTAATATTTATAAAGAGATATATAACCTACCATAGATCCATAAATGCATCTTGATGATATGACTCAGTTTGGAAACAGTTGGGGCGTTGTTTTTCATCTTAAGTTGTGCGAGGTCTCGCTTCTTTTATTTATTTCGCTTTTTTATCAAGACATTTCGTGCCTATTCAAAGGCATAAATAATTCCCATAATAGCGTATATAAAATAAAATAACAACAATGCAAAGGTTGGCTTGAAAACCCAGCCAGTGTGTAAGATGTCTTTTCTATAAACTTGGCTTTTGGGTCACGTCTCGCTGGTTGAATTCTGGCCGCTTCCGGAACGGATGTGAGATTCAATTAGCCAACAAAAACCGAACGTGGGAGAGAGTCAAGTTCAACTGTAGGCCTAGGTCAAGTTACAGATCAGTTAATATAATATATAATATAGATATATATATATATATATATATACTGTTAATCCAATCCGAGATGAAGCCTATCAAGCTGTCCCATCCTTTCACTTTCGTTACGTTGCGCTGCCTCTTGTTTTACTTTGATGTAGGTCAGCGACTTAAGGATCAAATGGCCAAAAAAAAAAAGAAAAACTGGTTGGATAAAATACCATCGATTGCGTAACAGAGATTGGAATGGAGATTTTTTTTTTTGGGAATGGCAACGGGAATTGGATGAAGTTCGGAATTGGTCTCGGGATGATGGCTTTGGCGTGATGATTAATATGGTAGCAGTGAGTGCGTTGACCATCCATCATCAACCGGTGACTGTGAATGCTGCAATCGGAATCGGAATGGGTTGAGTTGGTTTTTAGATGATGAACAAGTGGAGGTGATATATATGTAGATATATATATGCAGATTGGATAGATGCGAGTGCCATTTTGGCTTGGTATTTAGTTGATTTTATTTGGGGTTTTGTTTCTGGTTCAATGAGTTGATATTTGTGGGGCATACTAATGAGGGTTCTTCACATTTATTTCTTACAAATTACTTTGATACAGGGTTTTCTTTCTATTTTGCTCTCATTTAACCTTTTTGTTGTGTCTTGATAGTATTTTTTAATTAAATATGATTATGTTTGGTATTATAATTAATGTACTATTACAATGAAACCTTTTCTTTTTTCTTTTGATTTGATATTTTCTTTTCTTTTGATATGATATTAAAATGTTGTTAAAATTGTTATTGTAATTGGGATATTTAATTCTTTAAAAGATCTTATGATATAATGATCCAATAACGAAATTAATATAATGATTCAATATAAAAAGCTTTCTTCTGCCATTTTCTACAAACTATAGATCCTAGGAATTTTTCTACAATATTATAATTCCTATTTATGATCTCCTGAGTTTTTCTAAGCTAAATATCCTGTGTTAATATTGTATCAATTAAATTATGCTTTCTTATAAAATTATTTAACAAACTAATAAGCCTTTGAATTATTTTACAATATTATGATAACTATTATGATCTTCTGAGGGTTTCTTACCCATTTATTCTTTAATATTAAAAGGTATACTGTACTTTGTAATTAAATTTATCTTTTTAAACCAATTCTATTAAAAAATAACAAATTCTACGATTTTTCTTTAATATTTGTATCCCCTTCATGATCTTCTGAAGATTTCTTAACTAATTGCTTCACAATTTAACGATCCTATCACTATCTTCTAAGGCGTTCCAAAATTGTATGCCTATCTTCCCTATGAAATTTACCTTTCTAATCCAATTATTTATTTTAAACTAATGATGCTAAAAATTATTTCCTAGCACCAATTACAAAAGAAAACTCCTCTTTATTATGCAATCTTCGTTTGCTTTCCTGATTACCAACCTCCTTTAATGAGAGACCTTCCCCTCTCACCCAGATCTTGATTAAAGCTTAAATCCAACCGGATTTCAACTGTTTTTAAGTGGCTTGATAGCTTGATTCACTTGTTGATCAATTACCATGCCAAAGGCGTAGGTTCCACCACTCCCCAACTATTTCACCCAGCGAGTTTACTTACTTTTGATATAGTTTCTCGCATCAAATGCGAATCACAAATTTCAAGCGAAATTTCCAAAACAAAAATCGAATAATCTACTAAAAAAAATCAAGAGAGAAAACTGGCAAAATCGTGCTACATGTTTGGAATTTTAAATAATCTGGAATAAGTCCCAGTGACAAGTTAAGTTAAAAGTGTAGATGAGAAAGTAACATTTCGATTTATAGAAATTGGTTTAAGGTTTGCAGAGGATTTAGGGGATTATTTATATATATTAAATATATATTTTAGATATATCTTTAATATATATCTTCAGATTTAAAAAGTGATCTTTAAAGGGTGTTATTTTCATGGGGGTTCAATATCTTTTAGATCTAAATGTATCTTTCATAAATCTCTTCCTCGAAACTCTCTCTTCTATAGAACCTTTAAACCTCTTAAAATCCTTTTTATAAATACATGTTTTTTATATTTTTTATTTATTTATATATTTTTTATTGTTCGTTCTTGCCTAAAGATAAAAAAAATACATATATAGATAGATAGTTGGGGGTGAAAAATACAGTGTTTTTCGAGCTTAAAAACTAATTCAATAATTTAATGATAGCCATGCGAGGACGTGGCTGGTGGTCCATAACTGCTTGCAGGGGGCAGATATGTGGCTTCTGGCTCAAAAATGGGCGTGGCCGAGTCTCCGGAGTGTCCTGGAGGACCATAGAGCTGCGCCGGCGCCTGATAGTCATAACCCGGCGATGATGGCGCCTGCAGGAATGGTGATGTTGGTGTGGCATAATCATAACCAGAAATGGAATTGGTCACAGAACCAGAGCTACTCTCATGTTTGGCACCCAGAAAGGCGCTGGGTTTGAAGGGTGCCTTCGATAGCTCCAAATCGGAGTGACTAACCCCGCCATTACCGCCTCCCAGGACATCGGTGTGAAGAGCCTGCGGTTTGCTCGCCGTGTAGCTAAAGTGTCCCAATCCTTTGTGACCCAAGGCATAGACGGGTGTCTCTCTCTCCTGTTCCCGCTCCAGTTTGTGCTCCTGCTCCAGGACTTGCTCCTGCAGGGACTCTTGCTGATGATCATAGCCGGGTATTAGGGGGACTCCATAGCTGCTTAGGGGTGTTCCTTTCCCAAAAGGTGTGACTGGGGCATCGTAGGTGTAGCCAGAGTGCTCCTCTGCCGGCTGGGCTAGCGGATGTTGGGCAAACACTGGGCCATGATGGCTTCCTCCTGCTCCGCCTGAAGAGTGTCCCAATCCGAGACCCAAAGCGTGACTCAGTCCATGTTCCAGAGCATGCTCCAGGCTATGCTCCACATGACTTGTCGAGTGACCATGACTGCCACTGCTGCTACTGATCTGATGATGTCCAATGCCATGACTATAGCCATGTCCAAAGCCGTGACTGTAGCCGCCGTGACTGGGGGCTCCATGAGAACTGTAGCTGGGACTGGGTCTGTGCAGGGATCCGCCGGAGTACTCGGGTGTGGCCACCAAATAAGTGCTGGTCTTGTGACCACCTCCACCGCCGCCGCCCAGGAGATTTAGGTAAGCGGATGAGCCTGCTCCTCCTCCTCCTGGCGCTGGATATTTGTAGCCCAAACCATGCGAAGAACCGTGACTAAAGCTGTGACTGGGGCCGTGACTTAGCACGTGACTGGGACCATGACTTAGCCCGTGACTGGGTCCATGACTCAAGCTGTGACTTCCACTGTGAGCACCATGGTAACCATGTCCAGAGCCGGAATTACTGCTCGTGGTCTGAACAATATATGTCTCGATCTTGGGACTTGGCACATAATGATGATGATGTGGTCTGGCTGGAGAGCCATAGCCGTAGCCATGATGGGCATAATGATGGCTGCCGCCATTTCCGTTTCCGCTTTCGCTCTCCAAGTGCCCGAAGTCCGTGGAATAACTGGACAGAGAGTTGCCATGGTAGCCACCTCCTCCTCCTCCTCCTCCTCCGTGATAGCTCAGCTGATGACCTTCATAGGCGGGCGGCAAGTACTTGTGGGAGGGGCCATGATAACTAGAAAAGCTCAAACCGGCATCTCTCTTGGGCTTTCCAGAGGCAGCAGAAGGGGAAGCAGGAGGAGCAGAAGCAGAAGTAGGAGCAGCAGAGGGAGTAGCAGCAGCAGCAGCAGCAGCAGAAGCTTCTGAGGCCAGGCAAAAGCAGCCGAGGCTAAGCAGAGCCAAGGCTAACGGTACTCCAGAGAATCGCATGACACAGATCTCTCGCTCACACACACAGACACAAAGTCAGAAAGTTACACGCAAAAAAAAAAAGAATGAACGAAGAAATATGTCTAAATTATCCTCGTAGGTCGATCGTTATATTTAAAGAAAAAATGTAATATAGTTAAGAGACGCGCCTCGTTCCGCAGCCGTCGACGCAGTGTTGACGACCTCCGTCCGTGTTAACCCTTTTATACATTTTCCATAACTCCCCAAACTAGCAAACTCCACTCGAAAACTTCACAAAACAAAACAAAAAAAAATCAGAAAAGAAAAAGAAACAACAAAAATAATGTTAAATAAAATCAACCCAGGTGGATGCCTCTGCCTTTGCCCCAGCAGCGACGCCGGCTGATCTCTCGCTCTCTCTTACGCACACTGTCACCCACTGCCAGAGAGAGTGAAAGAGAGAGAGGGAGAGGGGGGGGGACAACAACGGTTTTTTTTTTGTTTTCAAGCTTTCAGTTTCCGTTGCCGACGCTTTGTGTGTCTCTGCCAGCGTCCACAGCGCAGTCGCAGCCTTTTACTCTTTCACTCTCACTCTCGTTTGGGGAACAGTGGAGCAAAATGAAATGGAAAGGGGGAAATGGGGTTAATGGTAATAATTTGCATGCCATTATTATTATCCTATATTTCATAATTATTTTTATATTACAATTATTCTTATTATTATATTATAATAATTATTATTATATTATATTTATTATTACTATACTATAATTATTATTATTCTTATACTATAATTATAATATAAAAAAGTAATTTTCGAACCCTACAAATAATATATATTATTGATCAGCCAAGTAAATTTAACTGTGTTTGGTACAAATAAATTTTAACAGCTTTTTAAGGTTTTTACATCATTAACATCACATTATTAAAGTTGGCAAAAATTATACAACAAATTAATATATATATATTTTTTTTATTGTAAACTCAAAAATTATTCCTCTTTTTATTTTGTAATAAATTCTTTTTAATAATCGGAAACCTGCATCTTTGCACTTTATGCTTTCTGCTCACAATTTCATGGACTTTGTTCCACTGTTCGAATGTTGCCAACTTTTGACAGCGCCGCCTCAAGTTCAAGTGACACTTTTGCATATCACATGTCAGCCCCAACCACGCCCCTCCCTTCACCGCCCCCTTTTGGGCCCAGGTTTTATTTTTCTCTCACTCTTTTTGCTCATTCTTCGCACAAGTCATGTCGGTTTATGCGTAAATTGCATTTAATTCAGAGCAACACTTGTTTTGCACTCCTCCTCTTCCACCTGCTCTTTCACTCTGCTTCTCCTTCTCCTCCTCCTCCTGTTTCTTCTTTTGCGCTCTGTAATTGTTGCTATTTTCCCAGCTGCGAAAATTGTTGTAATTCGAAAAGAGATTTGTTTTTTTCTTATACTTATTTGTTGTTGCCTTCGTTTTGGGATCTTAATTGGGGTTTCTGCTTTGCGCGTTGATTTTGCAATAGTTAAATGCCTCTTAACCCTTCTTTGCACCTGCTTTGAGGTCATGGTTAACCCTTAACTGGAGTCGAGTTTTGCACCTAAGATAAGGGAGATGAAAGGAGATCAGGGAGCTGAGCTACTTATGCACCTTGCTGTCAGGTTTACTTTCTCTTTTCTCACCTTCCATCCTCCCTTTATCACTCTCTTTCTTCATAGGTAACTAATTCTAACCTATACCCTGTATGAAGGGGTTAATATCACCCCTTTTTTGTATAAGATCAATTAATAAACCTCAATGGATCTCTAAAACTACTGCAGCTAGGGTTACCAATTTTGGTATACACACTTTTAAGCCTTAACTTTAAAGGAATATATTTTTTTGAAAATTTTAAGTATCCAAATAACCAAGTTACTTGGGACAATATTAATTGCTAAACTTTGATGGATCTCTGAAACTATAAAAGCTAGAGCTACCAATTTTGGTATACACATTTGTAAGCTTTAATTTATGAATAATATAGTTCTTTGAAATTTAAAAGTTTGTAGAGTACCGAGTTATTGAAGATCATAAGCTTCGATGGATCTCTGAAACCACAACAGCTATAGCTACCAATTTTGGTATACACACTTTAATGCTTTAATTATTTTAAAAGACAAAAAAATAAGTTTAAACATATTTATATTTTTTTTTTTTTTGTAATTTAAAGGTACATATATAAAGCAGCGCTTTCTTCGGAGTTATATAAACTCCTTAGCCTTGTTCGAGATCTGGAACATTATTGCTAGACGCTTGCTTGTACGCTTCAATTATTTAACATTATAATTTTTGAAAAGTTAATTTTAGAAAATTTCAAAACTGGTAGAGAACATTTTTTTGTTTGGCTAAATCCATTTATCTATGAAATATACGTCATATGGATTTTTATAGCCTCTCGCCATTTGATAAATTAAAAGCGTCGGGTATATGCCCAGGCACGACGCTGACGTTCAAGTTCTGCGCTATCAAGGCATGATCCATCGGTCTTCTCCATATGGTCAATACGACTCCTGGCCTCCTCAGCGGCCTTGGCTGCAATTTCAGCCGCCTTCCTGGTCTTCTCACGATCATGCAGAGCCTCATTCAATATTGGCATTAGCATATTGACACGCTTCTGTGCCGCCTCCATAACAGCAAATGCTTCCATTACCGATTTCTCCCAAACATGTAATAATTGCTCCGATGTGCATAGCTTCTCCTTGGCTCCCTTCACAGAATTGGTTAAACCCTTCACTTGACGTCGCGACTGAGCTAGGGCCTTATGGGCCAACTGATCGTTCTCCTCGTAGGCGGCTAATTTCTGGACTTCCGGTTCCAACATGGCTCTGGCATTGCATACTTCAGCTTCTAATTGCTCAAGAAGTTGACCCTTGCCAAAGAGCACTGCATCGGCGGCATTGGCGGCAGCGGTTGCCTTATCAGCATATTCGGTTTTGATCTTATCAGCGGCCACCTTAACAGCCAAGGCCATATCATCGTTGGCTTTCTTGGCCTCTTTGGCCGCCTGGATGGCAATGCCTGAGCTACGTTGCTTGGCATTCTCTTGCATCTTTTGCCCGGAACGATTTTTTTGGTCACCCTTATTGTTACCATCACGCCCTGATCCTCCACATCTATCCATGCCTCCGCCGCCGCCACGGCTATTGCCGTTTCCATTTCCGTTTCCGTTGCCGTTGCCGTTTCCATTTCCGTTTCCGTTTCCGTAGCCGTTTCCGAAGCCGTTTCCGAAGCCATTCCCGATGTCGTTTCCGTTGCCGTTACCGTTACAGTTTCCGCTACCGTTACCGTTTCCGCTACCGTTCATATCTCCGTTTCCGGTACCGCCGCTACCTATATCACCATCGCCATCACCGCCATTATCCAAATCAAAGGCTTGCATACGTCTAGGACGATCGCGTTGATATTGCCCATTACTTTGGGCCAATAGAGATATAACCAAAAAAGTATAGAAAAACCACATTATTTTTTTTTTTTAGGAAAAATTATTACTTTTTTGAGAGATCCGTAGTCGACAGAGGTATATGAGGGACTGACGAAATTTACGGTATGCTTGGGCATGTTGACTGATACGTTAAGGTCATGGCATACTTGAGGAAAACGAATTCTAGAATTTTTAAAATTACAAATGTTGATATTGTAAGAGTTTCAGGGGTTTTGAAGTTTATTTTTTATCAAAGTAGGCCTTAAGAAGTTTGGAACAAGGCTTACTTGATGAAATCATATTCAGAAATTCTAAAAACTATAAAAATTTAAACTATAAGTGTTTGAGAGTTTTAGGGTTTAGGGGTTTAAGGATTTTAGAGTTTATGGGTTTAAGGGTTTACGAGTTTAAAAACATTATTTTACACCAAAGTAATTCTAAAAGCTATAAATATTTAGAGTTTAAGGGTTAATGGGTTTAAGGATTTTAGAGTTTCAAGAACTATCTTTTCCATCAAAGTAGGCCTTAAGAAGTTAAGAACAAGGCTTACTTCATGAAATCATATTCTGATATCCTAAAAATTACCAAAACTGAAACTATAAAAGTTCGAGTTCCAGAACTTTCTTTACAATCCAAGTAAGCCTTGGGTTTTAAGTTACCAAAGTGGTTGTCTAGCTCTCCCCCATTCTCATTCTCAATTCGTATTCGATTGGAAAGATGTCGAAGTCTAAAATAATTCTTATATTTTTGTTCCTGCTGGGCATTTTGCCTGAATTGGAGAGCTACAATTATTTATTCATAGAACCGTATGAACGTAACTATTTGACCAACTATTTCAATGATGCTAATCTAAACGAACGTTATGAGAGAAGTGAGTTCTCGTGCGGCCATGGAACCACTGAAAATAAACCGAATTGTGCCAGCTCTGTGGGCACCGGTGATCCCAAGAAGATAGCCTATGGCATTGCCCAAAAGGCAGCTCTGGATGCCAAGGCGGCGAGTGATGCACAAATTGGTGCCGCCGAGGCGGCATCCCAACAGGTGAAAGCCGAATTGGCCTACAAGGCCGAACAGTCGGCTAAGGCAGCCGAAGCGGCTTTGGCTGGCAAACAGCAAATTCTCGATCAAATGCGTCTCGAATTGGCCGATGCTGAAGCCGCATTGGGTATTATCACAGCGGCAATGCCGAAATTTGGTGAAAATGCTGAAATGTTGAAAGCAGTTTCCATAAAATCGGAGAAACAAGTTGCTTACATGAAGAAAATCGTTGAAATCGCCAATGCACATTTGGATAATGATAAAAAGGTGGCCAAGGGGGCACAGCAAGAGGTCGTTGAGAAGACAGCCCTGATGACGGCAGCCAAGCAACGTGCCGATATTATACACAATCGTTTAGCAGAAGCCACCAAGGATCTGGATGCCACAAAGACGGCTGCCTATAAGGCCTCCTGCGCTGCGGTCGAGGCCAAGCAAAAGGCTCAACGCTCGCGTCGTGATTCCTGGCTCTATGATGATCTGGATTTGTGGCTTTAAAATCCCAAAAAGAAACAAAAAACAAGTTCTATGTTTTTAATTTGTTCATTTGAAATTATATAGTTTGTGATAAAAAGAGTTGTGGGGCCAGCTCTAACAAAATGTATCTATAAAGTTGAGTTATTATTTCATCTGCTGAGAAGTGTGCCATCGTAAAAGTAAAACTCTTTGCAAGTTGATGTAATAATCTCCAGACAGTCTCGGGTTGTGCAATCTCTGGACAAGGTCACCATACACTTGTTATAATTTTCACCGATTTGCGACTTGTGCGAGACGCCCATAATTGAGGCATTTGAAAGCTGGCTGAAAATTGCCAGAGAGATAGACAAGTTACAGTAGTAGTTGGAAATCCGATTCATGATCCGCCCATGGTAAAAGTTGGCCTTAAAGTGCCGCCTTTTTGCTTATACATACGAGTGGGCGAGTCATCATCATTCATCATCATCATCATCAACATCATCATCATCATCATCATAATCATGATCTTGGTTGTTGTTACATGGGCTCAGGGAATCCGAAGCTGGGATTGGGATTTATTTGTATCTTGTATCCCAGACCCCCAGAGAGAGAGAGAGAGAGTGGGGTTACGTGTGTGTGGGAAGACCTTTCCAAATTGGTCATAATGGATCTCAGATATAACAAGAATTTCAAATACTTAACACAAGTATTTCAAAAATATAACTTACTATTAGGGTCTTAAGTTAAGACTCTTAATAGTTATAATGATTATTTTGTAATGGTAATAACTGTTAGAGGTCTTAACTGATTTAATGATTATTTATTAATGGTAATACATAAAAATTAATGATAAAATGGATAGTAATTATTCATAAAGTCAAAATGATGAAGATTAAGAGTTTTTGGGGTCGTGAAATCAAATAGTTTAGGAGGTATAGATTGAAAGAAACTAAAGTGAAGAAAATGTTTATTATAAAATATGTATCAAAGAGTGAGTCTTTTTATTTTTGATTACTTTTAAAATTATAAATTTAAATTTGTTCTAGTACTCAAATATCGACAAATATTTAAAAGGAGATAAATTTATAAATATTAATGATACCTTTTTAAAGGTACAAAAGTAAAGGTGCATTTTTAAAGGTTCATTGTCCAAGGTACATTTTAAAGCTAAAAAGGAAAGGGTAATATTTTAATGAAACAATAACAAGAATTCTTTTTCATATTTCTTTTAGATATTTTTAAATTTAAAGTACCAAAAAATCTTTTTTTTTAAATATATTTTTATAAAACTACCAAAGAATCTTTTTCAAATAAGCTTTTTCATATACTTTTATTATTATACCACTATACCATTATATTCAATATAAAAAGAACAATTTTAAGAAATGTATAATATCAAAGGAACAATAAAATAGGTAGATTTCTTAAGAAACCATAAAAATGTTGTAAATTTTTAACTGTTTAACAATATAAGTATATCTGAAAGGTATATGACATAAGTACAATATTAATGATTCAATTTTAATGGGTAAATTATAAAGGCTCAATATAAATGTTCAATTAAAAAGATATAATAGGAATTAAACATTCTCTTTCTCAAATAAAATAACTCATGGTACTTATAATCAGATTAGGTACATATTTAAGTACATTTTTACATTTTCAAGTAAAATAAGAAATAACAATTTAAATTATGGATACATATTGCTTAACATATTTGCAAAAAAGCGAGTATTTTTAAATGAAGTTAACTATTAGCTTTCAAGTTTAACTTCTTACTAAATTGTATAAATTACTGGGTGATAAATATACATAGCCCCCTCCAGCTGCCCCCCTTGAAAGCTCTGATCCCTCCGCCACTGGTTTGTATGGATGAGCATGAAATGGTGGCTCTTCTAGCTGCTGCTGTTGCAGCTGTTGCTGTTGCTGCTGCTGCTGCAGCTGTAGTTGCTGCTGTTGCTGCTGCTGCTGCAGTTGTTGCTGCTGCAGCTGTAGTTGCTGCTGCTGTTGTTGATTCCCTCGATTTGGTGGCACCACTTGATTCTCCTCCTCATCATCCGTATAGCCAGCAAAGGGTGAGGGTCGAAAGGGCAGGGTAAAGTGTCCAGTCTGCGGAGGAGGAGCTGCCAAAGGATTCACCTGAAGTTGTGGGGTGAACAATCCCAACAGGAGGGGTTGTTGGTATTGCTGAGGAAGATATTGCTGCTGTTGCTGGAAGAGATTCTGTTGCTGCAGCTGATGTTGCTGCTGTTGTTGCTGGTAGGGATTCTGTTGTTGCTGTTGTTGCTGCTGTTGCTGCTGCTGCTGCTGCTGATCCTGTTGGAGCTGTGGAAAGGTCTGTGGACCTGTATATCCCGGACTCAATTGTGATGCCCCCGGCAAGCTGGGTAACCTGGCCACCGTGGGCAGGATCAAGGGTCGCCAGGGCATTGAATATAACCAGGAGTTGTGATAGCTAATCCCTGGCTGCTGCTGTGGCTGTGGCAGGGCCATCATCGATGCACTAAAGCTGACCAGGATGAGGACATAATGTGGCAATTGCATAAGGCCAAACAACATGTTGCTCCAGATGGATGCTCGCCGGCAAGTGCTGCCATTGGCTCCAACACCTTGGCCATATATATGAAGCCCAATGCTGTCATTCGATATCCCTGGTTCCGCTGTAAATGATATGACCAGCTTCCTCCTCGTCGCCAGTTGCAGTTTCATCTTCATCTTCAGTCTCTTTCTCTTGGTTGCGCAATCCGGGATTGCTTCCTCGGCTTTAACTTTAGCTTCGAAATCAAGTTTTACTTGAAATTTCATTCAATTTAATATGAAAATTTAAAGTTTATATTTGTTATTGATTGCTTTCAAGTTGTTTTATTTAAAATTCTACTACTTTTGTTTGTTTTTGAATGATTTTAATGACTCTTACCACACACGTTGTGTGTTGCAATGTGGCAAAGTCTGCAAATTGCCACGCGGTGGTGTCTCTCTCTTAAAGCGTTCAACAATCCATGTAACTGAGCCGGAGTTGGGTGTTTCCATCATCACCCAACTCTTGCCCTTCGAACGCAACATTTTCCAGTTGAGGAATTTCCCAGAGTCAGCTTCAAGGCGAGAGGGTAAGCCAGTTTTCCCTGGAAGATTGTCAGTCACTTTAAATGTTGTTAACCATTAATATCATCTAATGTAGATATGGATTACCATCTTGGGGGCCTTTGGCCTTTTGGTAATTTATTAAATATTATTAAAAGATCAAGGCTATCCTGATTAATTTAGTTAGTAAACTAACTAGATTTTATTTTATTTGATTTACTTTTTATGCTTCTTAGTACCAGGAAACCAATTCAAAGAAAAATGATTTCCCCACCAATTTTTGCTTAACAAATAAACCTCAAATATATTTCCCAAGAAAAGAAATTGCTATCATCAAGCTAACTATTTTCCATTTGATGTTAAAAACTTAATTAAGGTCTAGTCCAAGATAATGCTCAAATATTTGCCAGTTAAATCGGTTTGCATACCTTTTGATTTAATGCAAGTACCGCACAACCATTTGTGGTATGATTTTAAAAATAAAACTCTGGCCCCAAAGTGTATGTGTGTGTGTGTAAGAGACTTCCGTGCCAAAAAAATGAAAGTGGCAGTAGCAATTGGTAACAGCTGCCCTCAGACAGCTTTGGCGTTGGGCTTGATCGGCGGCAGTGAGCAACATTTCAATTCCGATGACTCGACTTGATCGAAAATGGAGCCATGAACATGACGGATAATGGTGCCAAAAAAAAAAGAGTCGACCTGCAAAATGCAATATTTATTTACAATCCACTGACGCTGTGGGCTTCCTGCTGCAGCTGCAGCAATGAAAGTTGCCACAAAGCCCTCTGGCCGGTTGCCAATGCATATTATCGTGTGGGTGTTGCCATTGATTTTTATATATTTATTTTATAATATTTTTTAATGCTTCTTGAATGGTTTTATTTTGTATTTGTTTTACCTTCACTCAAATGGAAATCGGAGGGGACTTAGGTTGAACTCAAAGGGAACTCCACTGGAAATCCAATGGAACTCAAAGGGAATTCTAATGGAACTCCAATGGAACTGTAATGGAACTTCCATGGAACTCCAATGGAACTCCTATGGTACTTCAATGAAACTCGAATCCAACTTTAATGGATTATTGAAACGATTATGAAACTCCAATGGAACTCCTATGGAACTCCAATGGAACTTCCATGGAAATCCTATGGAACTCCAATGGAACTCCAATGGAACTCCTATGGAATTCCTATGCAACTCCAAAGGAACTCCAATGGAACTCCCATGAAACTCCAATGCAACTCCAATGCAACTCCAATGCAACTCCAATCGAACTCCAATCGAACTCCAGTTAAACTCCCATGGAACTCTTATGAAACTCCAATGGAACTCCAATGAAACTCCAATGGAACTCCAATGCAACTCCCATGGAAATCCAATAAAACTCAAATGGAACTCGTTTAAATCTCCATTTAATCTCGCTTAAGTCTTCACTGATTTTCTGAAATTTCATTGAATCTCAATGAATCTCTCTTGAAACTCTCTTAAATTTTCTTTAAACCTCCATTAAATCTCGTTTGAATCTCCATATAATCTAGCTTGAGACTCGTTTGAATCTCCATTGAATCTCGTTTGAATCTCCCTTAAAACTCCCCTGAATCTCTCTTGAATCTCACGTAAATCTCTATAGAATCTTTGCTGAATATCTGCTGAATCTATGCTAAATCTTCTTTGACTTCCCTCTGACTACAAGCGGAAGTATGTTAGCCACGAGAACTCCACCAAAATTGTTTTTGGTGTCTCTAATTTTGAGCCTCTAATCGCTTTTCAAGTATGAGAAAATTACAAACAAATTCTCGCAATTATCCAACGAAAATCGGCGTAATCAAATTAGCCATGCTCTTAAATAAATTAAATTAAGCGAAGGTCATACAAGCTACTTCCCCTTGAGGGATGATATCATTTAATTGTTAAAAATAAGCATAGTTTGTCTAGCTTTAGTTTAAATAACAATGGGAGGGTCTTAGGCCCTGGCTTTGTTTAATGTTTATTAATGGTTATGTCATGGGAAACACAGTCTTAAGACTTTTTGTTTATATAAAATTGATTTTGGTTAGGGTTTCCTAATTAGAATAAAGAAAATAATAGTTTTTCTTTCATTTGTAAAGCATTCTTAGACTTTGCTTTGTTTGTTTATTAAATTTTATAAACAAGAATGTAATACATTTAAAACAAATATATTTTTATATTAAACCCATTTTCCAGTAAGCAAAGTAAATAAACCTTTTGAGTCATTTTATGTTCACCAAAGTATATTTTATTAAATATATATAAATGTATAAAAAAAATGGATATAAGTTTGTACAATTTTAGCTTCAAAATTTCACTTCAAACTAAAGGCTTTTCCTGGGAAATGCCAATGCTGAAGGCTATGTTTCTTAAAGACTTTTCTTTTTAGATTTTTCCCTCACTCTCAACTTGAGATCTTATGGCGGATGAGGAAGCTCCAAAGTGAATCAAGGGGAAAATGATATAGAGGAAAAGGGAAATTATTTAATAGTAAGGCGCCTGAAACTCTCTGCTGGGATGGTTGATGCCATTCTGGGAACCAGGAGAAGAGGAAAGGGAACCAGGAGAAGAGGAATAGATTGCAGGAGAGGAATGGGAGCCAGGAGAGGATTGAGAACCAGGTGAAGATTGAGCATAGGCACTCACAGAAAACTGACGATTACCTCCCAAGGGGGAGTACGAGGAAGGGGAGGAGGAAGGTCCTTGGTGCTGCTCCTGCTGCGGCCACTCCCTGTGGATGCTGTGTGTCGAGGGCAATTGATATGAATGCGATTGCATTTGCAGAAAATCCTTGTTAGAGGATGAGGAAGGGGTTGACCCACCTAATTGCTGCTCTTGATGCTGTTTTATCGGCGAGGCAAAGGTGTGTTTACGATAAGCCGAAGGTAAACCTTGACTCAATAGCCTCGTATCCTGGGCATCCAGTCCAATAAAGCGATCGTGCTCAGCATCGCTGGACAGGGTGTAACTAGGCACCAGTTTGAGATCTCCACCTGGCTTGGCAAAGGTCTTCTGACTGCTGGCATGAGCCTCTGCCGTAGGGAGCTTCTCCAACTCGTGCTCCTGGATGGGATGCCACAAGCTGTCATGATGATGGTGTTGCTGCTGCTGGTGTCCATAGCTGGAGCCTGGCCAGGATTCACCACGTTGCTGGGAGTGCTCAAGCTGTCCGCGATGGGAGTTCCAAGATTCGGAGTTTCCTGGACCTCCATGACCTCCCTGCTGCTGCCGCTCTGAGTTCCAGGACTCTGAACCTCCCAACTGCTGCCAGGATTCACCATGATGCTGAGGTTGTCCACGATGGGAGTTCCAGGACTCTGGTCCTCCTAGGCTTCCTTGATTTCCTGGCTGCCAGGACTCACCACGTTGCTGCTGCAAGTATTCTTTCTCTTGCTGATGGTGAGCACTTTGTCCTTGGTTGGAGTTCCAGGATTCAGAAGATCCTAGACCTCCTGGACCTCCATGAACTTGTTGATGATGATGATTTTGCTGGCCAAGACCTGGATGGTGCTCATAGGAGTGCTCATTGTGGTGTCCTCCAGGGATCTGTGGGTGATGTTGCTGGTGATGTTGGTTTAGTTGCTGGTGATGTTGCTGTTGATGTTGCTGCTGCTGCTGCTGTTGCTGGTAGCTGTTGTAGCCCTCCTGATGATGTCCTCCAGAGATCTGGTTATGTTGCTGATGCAGAGAACCCTCTTGGTGTGGCTGATAGCCAGAGATCTGGTTAAGATGATGGTGTTGCTGGTGGCCAAGAACTTGCTGCTGCTGCTGATGATGTTGCTGCTGCTGATGATGTTGCTGCTGCTTATGATGTTGCTGCTGCTGTGAGAAGAGTGATTGCCAGGAGTTTTCCTCCTGTTGCTCCTGCTGCCGCTGTCCCTCATAGTATTCCTTATGGAAAGGACCATTGAAGCCCTGGGGATGTCCTTGCTGCTGGTGATGCTGATCCTCCTGTTGATGATACTGCTGATGATGAGGCTCCTCGGCGGGCAAATATTTGTGAGCGGGACCATTATAACGATAGCCATTCCTATTATTATTAATCAATTGCTGGGAGCCTCCAACCACCACGGCCTGTATGGAAGACAGGCCCAATAGAGAGGCCAGCAGGAAGATCTAAAAAAAATTAAAATCCAAAATTAATGACTCTGAGAAAAGCTAAAAGGGAAATCCCTCACCTGTACTACCCTGAGCTTCATTTTGGCTCTGAACTGTGCTGATTGTTAGCTGAATGCTGAGTGAGCAATGGCTGGCTTTTGGCCAAAACAAATACGTTTTATAGCCACCAAAGCGAGCACCACCTGCACCATCTATGATCTTGAATAATCACTGAATCTGTGCGTGAGCGTTGGTCGAATTTGAGACCCAGAAAAAAATAAAAATAATAGTACACAAAATAGATCAACAGTGGCAGTAAATCTCCCGATTCTCACGTAATGTAAATCAGATTCTTCTAGTCATATCTTAACCCCTTTGTTTGGGTTTATAGATATATAATATCTGAAGCAAGAATTAAGCTTTAAAAAGTATCTTAGTTTTTGGGTTTTTTTACTGGCGGCACTTTTACTTTGACTTACACAATTCCCTCGAGGCTGAATCTCTGCATTTTGTCAATTGTTTGTGGGCGTATGCCTCATAATTGTACGCAAAAATATTTAATTATATCACGTACATATATTATATATATATACATATATATATATTTAATAAATATATATATGTGTAAAAACAACTCAATGAAAGCGAAGCATAAAGCAAAACAAGAAACCGCAAAAAAAGTGAAAATTAAAAAATGAATCATTAAATATGGGCAGCACTTTGCTGAATTGGTATTTTTGCAGCTTGTCGATATTTTTTAAATATTTTAAGCTATCGATAATGATTTTTTAATTGATTTATTATTTATATTATTAACATTATTGTTTTAAAAACAATTTACAGAGGCTAAAAGAATTGGCTTTCTTAAAGAGAATATATATATTTTATATTTACTTATATATCAATTAATTTTAACATTAATAAATATTATTAATATTGTTATTGGATTATTTTATATTTTATAATTAAATTTACTCATTGTTTGTATGGTATATGGCTATATGTTATAGTCATCCGCTTTTGATAAAATTTTAAACACCATTCTAGAATAATACAAGAAAGCTATATCTTTAATTTGATGAAAATCTGTTGAAAACTGGAAAAGTTATCTTTTTTTCTGTAAAAATTGTCCGATCGTTCCTATGGCAGCTATATGATATAGTCGTCTGATTTGTATAAAATTAAAACCAAAGATCAAGAATAATATAAAATGGCTATATATTAAATTAAATAAAAATCTGTTGAAAATTGGAAAAGTTGTGGTAATGTGATAAAATTAACTTAATTTCCTTTAAACTCATTTATTATTTATTATTTTATTTTATCCAATTAGAAAATTAAGCTACAAGCAATTCCTATATGACTACAATTAGATCTTATTTCTAGGTTACAACTGGAATCTTATTAGAATAGCCGGCTGATAATGACGTCATCGCTGCATCCTCTCCTACGCCTCCCTCTCGAAACACGAGGAAAAATAGCTAAAGTAACGCCCTCTCCTTCTCTCCTGTTAACTGTTAACTCTGGATGAAAGAAGATCTGTTAAATAATATTACCTCCTACATGACAATTTGACGCCATGTATGAGAACTGTACACGTGTAAAATGTTAATGCTAACATGGTTCTGTTAAGTTCCAGGAGCAAATTAACAGAACGGACGAAAAGAGAAAGCAAACGAAAAAATAATTCGCCAAAGACGCACGCATTGCAGATCGCTCCGTGAAAAAATTGAATTGCGGAAAAACTAACGCCGGAAAACTCCGGAAAAGTGGTGGAAATAAGTGAAAACATTGAGCTCTATCAGTGGAAAGTGTTTGTTTGTGGGGGCAAAGCCTGTATTAGCCCCAATAAGAAAATCGGGCTCCTGTCCCGTATGTGTGTGTGTTTTTTTCACAGCCAAGATCCCTGCGTTGTTTTTGCCTAGTTTTGTTGTTTTTTTTTATGTGCAAGTGCAATAAATATGAGTGTGCCAACACCCTTAACTAACTAGAACGTTAAACTTGTGTGTGCGAGTGTGCGAAAGTACTCTAATTTGCCAATTGGGATCAGCAGCAACAACAATGTCGGATATGCAGCAACAACAATGCAAGCGGGTGAGTCATCCAAAGGCATTTTTTTTCTTTCGCTTATCCTCGTTTTCCTTTGCCTTCGCGCGCGCGAATTTTTTTCTGCTCTCGCCGTTAGTGGCCGTGCTCTCCTCCTGGAAAGTGGAATGTGAGAGAGAGAGAGCGGGAGAGCGGGAGAGCCGCTTAACGAATTCGATCCTCTCTTGTGGGTGGGAATTTTGATATTTTGAGAGTTGGAAAATGCCGTTGTTTACCTTTTTTTATCTTCGAAATTTCTAGGTTTGGGGGAGGGGGATAAAAACTAAATGCAAGCGAAACTTTATGAAATTAAATATATACATATAATTATTACTTTCAAGCCCTGTTTTACTATTTTTTGTTATTAGTAGTATTATTAAATGCTTTGCGGGGTATTAAGATTTATAATATTATTTTATACGATTTCGAAACTTATTTTAATTTGCTTTTCGATTTGAATAAAATTTAATAATCTTTTATAAATATTTCAACAAATCTCCTCTTAATTTATATTTGCTTTTTAACAAAATGAATCGAATCTAAATGATCTAAATACAAGGGTATATCCTTTGTCGAGCCAAAGTTTTAATTTCTTGTTTACTTTTAGCTCATTTTACCTTTTCACGGTATTATTATTTTAGTCAGAAGCTTACAAAACAGTGAAGGAGTCATTTCCGACCCTATAAATCATATATATTCTTGATCAGCATAAAAAACTGAGTCGATCTGACCAGCTTTGGGCGAAAACAAATATTTTTAAATTTTTTCAAATTTTTAAGGGGTTATATCGTTAAAATTATAATTAAAAATTGAACAAAATTTTCATTTTTAAAAATGTCAAGTTGAGTATGCTGATTTATTAACCTAATAAAAACTAACATAGGAAAGCTTTCCGAATTAAAATTAATGTTTTTTTGGCTTAGTTATGAGTTTTTAAACCTTTGATTTGTAGAAAAATTGTCATATAAAAATATGGATAAATAAATATAAAAAGAATGCGAATATTTTAAAGTAAGTTATAAAGGATTTTCGATTTGATCCTATAATTCATTTGCAAACTGCAATACAAGTAAACTTTGGTTTCCCGAAATTACTTTCTTTTGTTTTAATTAATGAATTTTTTAAATTAATTTAATTTAATGCATTACTTTTGCTTTTCATTGAATTATTCGTTTATTTTGCGCACTTTCTCTCTCTTGCTTTTCTACATACACAATAAATAATCGTACTTAGACTTAGTTACTAGCAACACAAACAAAAAAAAAAAATCAGTAATAACAATAACAATAGCATATACAATCGAACCAAGCACAAAATATCTGGCCTAAAATCAGCTACGAGGGGGATTTAATTATTGTAATTAGTGGCTTTTAATTAGAGGTTACTACTTGGGCGGTGGCCTCAAAGCGAGACTAGCCTCCAGATCCTTGACTTCGGAGGCTCTTAGTTGCTTCTTGATGGCCTCCTGCCGGGGATGAGCTCCATTTCCACGCTTTCCCCGCTTACCCGTTGACCCGCCCGCCCCCTGGGAGGCCGCACCCACAGCCGCACCCCTCGCACCACCCTTGTACGTATGCTGATAGCCATAACCTTCGGGATTATTATTAAATTTGGGACTATAACTATCGTAATCCAAACTCTGATGCTTCACCACCGGATGCTGACCATGAATGTGAGAGTGTTGTGAGTGGGAATGACCATGATTAAGATTATGCTGATGACCATGACCATGGGCCTGGGCCAAAGCATGGGCATTGGCCAAACGCAGACCGGATGTATCCACCCAAGAGTCATGATCATGGTCATGTTCATGCTCCTCCAGGGGTTCCTTCTTCACCACATGATAGTGATGATACGGCTGATGATGATGATGATGCTGATGGTAATTCTCCTCATTCTCTAACTCTGTGACTTCCGGTTCCGCAAAGTAACCGGAATAACCCTTATAATCCGGATGCAGGTTGTCCCCAGTGCTAGTGCTCCCCTTTAGTTTGTGTCTTTGATATTCGTGTAGAGCCGCCGCCGCAGCTGCTGCCTCTTTGTTCTTGTAGGGCAAAGAGTTGATGTCATGATAGATCTCCGAATTGAAGTATAACTTATGAGGGACCTTTCCCCTTTCCAGATCCTCTCGGGAGGAGTCACGTTCTCGCTCTACACGCTCAGGTGTGGGCACCACATGCGATAGATCAAATTCCTCGATATTTTTTAAGGCAGCTCCATGATCAAAATGCTCGGCACTCTTCAAGGGCAATGTATAGGGTTTTGATACTGTTTTCACGGTGGCTGTTTGTAGAGGAGCTCGGGTCTTGATTTTGTATATAAATTCCACATTTGGGGATAGTTCATCAACGGGAAGATCAGGTGCTTGGTAGGCAGTCTCTGTCTCGGATTGGAAATGCTGTTGCGGGAGAGGTTTCGGACTGGAACTCCTCACTTTACCCACGGTAATTTGTTGCTGATGTTGCTGCTGCACGGGATGCTGGTGATGTTGCTGCTGATGGTACACTTGATGGATTTGTTGCTTCGATTGCTGTTGCTGCTGGGAAACAGGTGCCACAGTATATTTGGGTCGCATGGTGCTGCTGCTGTAACGCTTATCCTCCAGAGCAGAGGAGGAGGATGTTGAGCTGCCCGTTTGCGTTTTGTAGTAACTTTTGGTTATGGTGGAGGCCTGAGGCAACGATAGTGGTGGCGGCGGTGTAACTGGCTCTTGGGGTGTACTCAGGATTTTACCTTCCGCTTCGAGTTCCTTCATGTATTTGATCACTGACTTTTCAATCTGTTTCATAATCTCCGATTTGGGTATCTCTGTGGAGGCAGAGACTCGCACCTTTTCCTCTGCCTCAGCTTCGAGATTTCTATAAGGATACTGCCCGTAGTTGTAGTTTGTGTTGCTGCCGCTGCTGCTATGATATTTGGGTCTATAGTGTCGCTCGATCTCCTCTTGAACGGGTATAAGTCCTCGATTGTGTGCCTCTGTTTCGGTCGAGGAGGCAGAGGATCCCTCGTAAATGTCATAGCTTCTTGTGACCGGCTCTTTTTCATAGACAGGAGCTGGCACTAAGCCAGGAGAAGCATTCAAGGAGGAGGATCCTGAGGAAGAAGCTGTGGCCGAGGAGCTCAGAAGGAGATGTTGCTGCTGCTGCTGATGTTGCAGATGATGCTGCTGCTGTTGCTGCTGATGTTGTTGCTGGTGTTGCAGATGTTGCTGCTGCTGCTGTTGCTGCTGCTGTTGCTGCTGATGTTGCTGCTGCTGTTGCTGCTGCTGGTGTTGCAGATGTTTCTGCTGTTGCTGCTGTTGCTGCTGCTGATGTTGCTGCTGTGCCTGCAATTCCTTTTGCAGCTGCAATTCCAATTGCTGTTCTCTTTCTCGCTCCCGAATTTCGATGTAGCTTCTCTGGGTGGATGAGGAGGAGGTTGCCGGCATTTGGCTGGTTGTCTTTAGCTGGATTTGCACCGGTGGCTGATTGTAGGCCAACTTAATGGCATTGGCCACATACTCGGCCGCCGATTGGGAGTCCTCCAGATTGACAGCGGCTCCTGAGCCTGGTCCCGATGCTGCTGTGGTGGTGCTTAGCAGGAGTTTGGGATGACTTTCGTGCTCGGGACGCACCAGGTTGAGCTCCACATGGCCGTAGTTGTAATCTAAGGATGGGAGTTAGGAGGATTAATTGGGTTCTTTGGAAAGTAAAGCTTATAGAAATATTGTTTTTAATTTAATATGAATTTAAGCTTGGTTTTCTTTGGAGTCTTGTTGATATTTGCATACTTTTGGGGCTTAAATAAAATCCGGAAAGTGTTTTATTCGATAGGTATTTAATATTTATTAAATTCCTTAGTAAATATTGAGGATTTAAGATTTATTTATTGTTATTTTTTAATTTTTTTTATTTATACTTAACACTCTTTTCCCTAACTTACCTTTGTTCGTTGCCTCTTTCGTTCTACTGTGTATTATTGATCCTCTTCTGGGGTAGCTCCTTTCATCTGATCCCCTTCGGCTGGCCGCCAAAGCCAACTGGTCGGGCACTGACTTGTCACCAGTGTCCTCCAGTGAGGTGAGGCCACCACCAGCAGCTCCTCCTGCTGATCCTGTCAAGCCAGAGCGACGGCGATTGTGTCCCGAAGTGCCAGAGGTCACAGAAACGGCAGTACACAAAGTGGACATCTAAGAAAAATAGTGGGAAATTAATTATTAATAAATAAAAAATATATAAACAAACCATATTTATAATTTTAACAAGCAAAACTCTTAAGAAATTTAAATTTAAACTGCAAAACAAACTTCCCAGCTTGCAAACAGTTTTTATCTCAATATTTCGAGTTGCTTCTTTATAATATCTATAATCATTAAATTAATTATTGAATATTATAATAACCCATGTATATTTAACCATATATTAATTGGGGGCTTGGCCTGTCAATCGATACTAAATACTGTCTAGTTTTCGCCTGGTTTTTGTTATTCGCTTTGGGCCCATTTCTTTCTGTGCCCACTTGGCAATTAAACTAATTAAACTTGGCCAATTCACTTTCGCTTTAAAGAGAGAGGGGAGGAGAGCTTTGATTAATGTGGAGGCTGGGAGAAGGAGGGGCATCCATCCAACCATCCATCCATCCACTGGAAAAACAGACAGCTCAATTTCTGTTTGATTGAGCCCGGCGCTCAGTTGGCCAAGTTCAATGGCCAAGTTCGTTGGCCAAAGAGGGAGGGCAATGAAACATCAGCATGAAAATACTTGCGGCACGCAATTTGTAGCTATTATTTGTGGCCAAGTGGATCACGTTTAAAGAAACGATTAGCGATGAATTGTAAAGCCAAATATGGGGAATCCCCAAGACTTGATATTCGCGGATATGGATTCTTTGGGTATCACTAATATAATATATATATTAATAATATATTAATATAATATTTTGTGGCTGTTTATTTATATATTCTTTTATATTTATATTTAATTTTTTTAATTGGTTTTCTTTATTTATTTAAAGAATACTATTTTTTACTTTATAAACAAAAATTCTTTGGCAAACTAATTTAAAAGATTCACTTGCAAGAACAGAAATCCAATAATTTATTAAATATTTAAAGAATTTGCAAAGAAAGGTCTTTTAATTAGAATAAGAAAATAATATTAATATAAAAAGAACTTTTTTTTTAATATAAAATACTTATTATTATATTTTATTTTATTGAAAATATTAAATATTTTATTATATATATATATATTATATTATTATTATAGAAAATTACTTTGTTATACGTTAGGATAGACTTTAAAGAATTTTAAAGGTTTTTATAAACGAAATTAAGTCAGAAGCTTAGAAAATTATGAAGGAGTTGTTTTTGACCCTATAAACCATATATATTCTTGATCAGCATCAAAAGCCGAATCTATCTAGCCATCTTAGGCAATAAAAAAACATTTTCAAATTTTTTCAAAATTTTTAAGGGGTGTTTTATCATTAAAATGGTCAAAAAAAAGTCCAAAAATTTTAATTTTTTTAAATTCTAAATGTGATATGCAGATTTGTTTGTCTGATGAAAACTAACATGGAACAGTTTTTCGATTGGAAATTATAGCATTTTTGGCTGAGGTATAAGTTTTTGAAAATTGGAATTTGTCAAAAAAATTGTCATATAAAAATATCGGTTTGAAGAATGCTTATATTTAAAGTTTAGTTATGATCGATTTCCGATACGTTCCCATTATTTAACTTTGAACTCTAAAAGTATTTAATTTTGGCTTTCCAAAGTTTGTTTTCTTTTCCTTTTAAGGGATTTTTTTAATGGAATAGGATATCCCTACAAAGGAACTCCCACAAAGCTATTATTATATAAATTTAATATTAAATATACCATTTTTTGAGGACTTTTATTTTGCAAAAATATATCAATTAAAAATATTTAATTTCTCTAAAATACTCCTTTTAATTATATTTTCAAAAATCACACACTTTTTGAGCACTTTTCTTATTGAAATTTAGAGCAGGAAACTATGGATTTTAAAATGCACACTTCACAAGAACCACAAAATAAAAAAAAATGTAAGGTAATCCCAGGGCAATGATTGCTGCGTTTATCCTTTCTCCTTTGGTGGACATGAAATACTTACAACCAAGAGCAGCAGACAAATCCATGAAAGTCCAGTAGTTAATGATCTATGACAAGGCAGGTGATGGGGCAGGTGTCGTCGTTGTTGCCTCCTGAAGGAGGTTGGAGGATCAGGTTGATATAATTGTGGCGCGTCGGACATGATGGCGCGACAGAGACTCGACTGGGTTTGTTGCCGGCCAGCTGGCGAGGTGCGGCTTTTATAATGATGCGGACCGTTGCAGCGGAAAATTTATGCGAATGTGAGAGCCAAAAAGAAAAGCGCTAAAAACTACACAACCAGAGAGCTAACAAAAGAGAGGAATATATATATATAGAGAGAGAGAGGGAGAAAACGAGGAGATCACTTCACTTTCGATGACAATTCAAATCGTAATAAGCCATCGACGCACAACTCGGCGTATGCGTGATAAGTTCGACCATTATGAGGCTTAGACTCACCTGCAAATAGGTGCAAAAGAGACAGAGAGAGAGAGAGATAGCTAGTGCAGCGGAACAACTGGTTTCTTTGGCTTCAGTTTCGGTTTACCAGCTGCCACTTTGATGGCCAATTAAGCCATAAGCCATAAGACAATCCAAACACACACAGTTCAATGAAATGAAATGTTTGCCGGTGGAGGTTTGCGATCGTAATACCCGTAATTGACTTGTAAAATCCTTTGCCACCAAAAGGCATTTATTGGGCCTAAACGACAGGTGTGACTCCGCTCTGTGACTAAGTCACTGAGGTGTGTGGCTTAGGATCTGGAATGCGGCTAATAATCATATTGTTGGAAGCGGTAAAAATAGTTTGTCCCCCAGGACTTTATGTAATTGTATTATTTCAGTTTGGTTATAGAAATTGATGTGCACTCAGCGGCCATAAATTTATTTTGCAAATATATTTTAATTGGGTAAAATCGTAAATATTTGTGGGGCATAAAAATATTACCTAATTATGGCATTTCATAAAGTTTTCCTGGATCAATTTAAGGCTGAAAGTATTTTTATTTCTTCTGCTTTAATAAAAATATATATTATATACCTTATAAGCAAGTTAAGCTTTAATTTTACAGGAGTTTTTCTGAATAAAATAAATATTAATAATAAAATATACCTATAATACTTAGTTTATAAGTAAGATTAGCTTTTTTTAACTGCAGTTTCCCTGAAGATTATCCAAGCTAAATATATGTTTTTAGGTCTTATTAAATATATTTTTAATATTTATTTCATAACTAAGCTTAGCTTACCTTTTTCTGTATATTTTTAAATAAAAGTCAAATTCATAAAAGGTCTACTTTTATAGATTTAATATTTGCAGGATTTAAAAATATATTTAATATTTATTTTATAAGCTGATTAAACAAAAGTATATAATTATTTTATTGAATTTTATTTAAAAAAAATTTTCAGTCTAAAAAGGTCCTTAAATTAAATTAGAAAAAAGGATTATTATACAGCTTACTTTTATAAAGCGATTTTATTTATTCAGTATCAAGATTTTATTGCAAATTGAAATAAATTAAGAAGGAAAACTTAATAAACTAGTTTAATAAATTAGTAATGAAATAAAAAAAATATATGTATACATTACAATCCTAAAATACATTTTTTTTTTACTTTCTTTAAATACATGTTCTTACATTTTGGATACTTAAGAGGAATGTTTTATTTTCTTTCATAAAATCCTTATCTAAATTTGTCTTAAAGTCATATTTCAATATATTTTTTCATTGACTTTTCCTATAGCAATAAAAAATATATAAATAATCCTATTATAAGTCAATGCAATCATGGAAGAAGGCAGCTTTAATTGATTATGATTTGTGACATCAAGTATAAAAAATAAATAGATAATAATGCAAAATGTGATTTAAATCTCGATTAATCCGACTTGGTATTTTTTGGTATATCTTCCACAAAAAAATAAATAAAAATAAAACTAAAAATAACTAAATAATGAAGTAAAATGGAAACCAAAAGTATCTTCAAGATGGAATCAGTGGTTTTTTGGCTCTCTCGTCTCCCATTTGGCGGTTGGCTTCATGGTCACTGACTCAGTGCATAGTAATTAACAAGGAGTCAAGCATGGCCGAAAAAAATATATAAATAAAACAACAAGAAAAACTAAAAAAAAATAAAATAAAATAATAAATAAAAATAATGTAAGATAATGTATTTGCGAAGAGAGCCAAACAAAAAAGCAAGAGATTTATGATGATTTTAACCGGAGTTGAAGTTGGAGTTTCTCTGATTTTAATTTCGATACGAAGAACCCCTTAGGTGAGGTCGAGATAATGGGAATTAAACCATTTATTGGTTTATGGAATGGGCGTATTCCTATTGATTGGTTTGACTCGACGTATACGTGATTTGCTGGCCCACAGGGCGTATGATTTATATTTTAATATTCAACAAGAGAAGCGAAGAAATCAAACTGCAATTGAAACTGAAACCGAAACACTTGCCACACTTAACAGCCAAAGCAAACGATAATGGCCGTAATAATAAAAGCGAAACAATTTTGCAGCAGCAGCAGCATTAAAAAAAAAACTGGCAAAGCGTTTCGGCCCCTCAGCATGTGTGAAGATCAACAACCTTGCCAACATTTCGAATGCGATATAGCCATGTAGCGGCTGCCAGTTTGCTGCGATTGCAATCCATGGCCCGTTAGGTGGCCAAAAACAAAAAATTAAACTGCAAAAAACGGCAAGAGACCCCAACAGATCCAGCCAACAGTCAGAGGAGCTCAGAGCTTAGAGGAGATGGAGTAGCTGCTGGAAACAGTGGTCTAAAATTGCTATTGATCTTCAGTCTGGTTAAGATCTTGTTTAAATATTTGTTTAAATATTTATTCAACATTTAAGGATGGTTCTTTAGACTTTAACTGTACAAATTAAATAAGTAAGTTAAGTCTAAAAGTCAAGTAAATAAATAGAAGAAGTCTTTTTACACTAAGGAAAGTTTAAAAATACCAAGAAAAGTCTTTTAATTACATTTAATATGCTTTAAAAATAATAATTATAAGACCTATAAATCTTCATAAAGTATTACGAATATTAAAGAATATTTAATTTATTCATTTATATAAAGTTTAAGTCAGAAATTAGCCCCATTTATAAGTTTATTTCCTTAAATATAGATTTTAACTTCGAAATTCTCCAAAAATATAAAAATAAGACAACAAACAATATACAAATATAGTCTTTAAATACTATTTTATATACATAAATAATACTATTTATGATGATTTTATATTTATTTATTTATATATTTACTTATTTATTAATATTTTTACAAGTATATAATTAATTTCTATACACATATATATAAATACAAGTTAAAAATAAAAATTTGCTATATTTTCGGACTGCTTTTCTTGAAAACTAAAATTAAAGTAGAAAATAAGTACTACATAATAAGGAAATATTTAAATAATATTCAAATACATAATTTATAATATTTATTATGGATTAAGTATATTATTATTATTATTTTCATATTGAGTAATATATATGACTAACATATTTATTTAATAATTATTTCTATTAAATTCTAGCATTTCTTGAATCAATATTTAGCAAGATTTTTATATGACAAAACCGCATAACTAAGCCAAAAAAACTTTAATTTTAATTCGGAAAGCTGTTTTATGTTAGTTTTTAGTAGTTTAATAAATCTGCATACTCAATTTAAAATTTAAAAAAATTAAAATTTTTATCAATTTTTTTTTTTAATTTTAATGAAATATCATCTAAAAAATTTCAAAAAATTTTTCAATTTTTTTTCTGTCTAAGATAGCTAGATCGATTCAGTTTTTCATGCTGATCAAGAATATATACGATTTATAGGGTCGGAAATGATTCCTTCACTGTGTTTTAAGCTTCTGACAAAAATTATAATATAATAGAATACTTATAAGAAAGCCTAATCATTTCCAGGTATTTCCCTTTTAAAATAACCCAATTTTTCGGTATTTATCAGCTTTAAAACCAATTTAATTTGTTATATATTTTTCTCTAAAATTCATCCACATTTCTCCGACTTTCTCCCACTGTTCACTGGCATCTGTGTAAAATGTTACGACTATAGTCTTTTGGCCTAAACTGCTCTCCTTCCTCTTGTTGGCTTATTAATTTTGTTGCTTCTCTCAGTGTTTTATGGTTCCATTGTTGGGAGCGAGATCATCGTTTAGATCATAATAAGGTCGGGACTTCAAACGGAACGGAAGTCAAGTGAATGAGATTCCGGACGGGGAAGAAGCCACACCAAAACCTAAAAACAAAAAACTTGGCAAAGTTTTCCGATAAAAAAAAACCGAGCAAAAAACCGTGACAACAATGACAAACAATTGCCGGACTTTCAATAATATATATCTTTTCCCTATATATATGTACCACAAGTGATATTTTGGGCAGGGAAAGCACTCAAAGAGATCTCTGTATAGATTGGAGGATCAAATAGCAAGTGGAAATCTCGAAATAAAAAAAGTGCGGAAGTCTTTGCCTCAAGTGGAAAGTGGACAGGCGCTGCCGCATTTCAAAATTATAGAAATTGGCACAACATTTACCAGACATTATTGCGGCAGACTGATTATATGCTAATTGTTGGCCACAATAATGCAAGTATCTCAGTATGGCAAAGTCCGGGAGTGTGGCATTTATTTTACGTAAAAGTGGCATGTGGCAAGGAAGAGACTGGCAGACTCCCATTGTGAAAGTAAATTGCAATGTTTTCAAAACTGCATTAGATCACTGGAGCACATTATAATACAGATAACATTTTACCAGTAACAGAGAGCTAATAGATCTTCTATATTAAAATATTAAACAAATGAAATTTGCAACAAAATTTTGTACATTAAATTTCTTCATAATGTATCGATGGCAACCCTTTGGGTCCATTTAACGATGGCAATGGTTCACATATAAACACTTGAGATCCGCTCGAACGTTTGAAATAAAATGGTGGCATCATTAATGGATCGTCCGGATAGGGATCGTCTGGGAGCAATTCATTTACAGCCACATTGCAATGCACCAAATAAATGGCAGTGACCCACAGGGCCACAAGGATACTCGTCGTGCATAATTCCTTATCGATCGTATTGAGGTGAATATAAATGGCGGTAAAGTGTAGAATACCCATAATGATGGCATG